AGAAACCACTACCCAATTTCATTCCGTAGGTGTCTTAAGAGGCGACAGAAGGAAACTGAAATAGGAGATGGGTAGCATCTTCTTGATAACTGCGCAAAGTAATAAAGAGCTGCGGTTGCCAACCCGCTTGCCAAGCGTGAATACTACTACAAATATCCTGTCTATTTGTCATACAGTAGGGCAAACCTATGATCAGCAGTGGAAAGCCCTATTAAAAGTAAAAAAGTAGCAGCCTAAATACATTCCACTACTGGGCACAGGCCATTGCAAGTTTTAAGTTTTAAGAAGTTAAGTTGAAACCTATATCTAAAAATGATTACCGAAATATTGTTTTAACATCAGGTTTCTTGCGATGTTTTTCTTCACCACCAAGAACCTGGTAAATTGAAACTTCAAATTGCAGTTAAAACACCAACTATGAAATTTGCTTACGTACCAACTATGAAAGGGCATTGCCCATTTTCGGCCATGGAACGCCCAACAATGTGCATTTGTTAAAAAAAATATTTTTATTTATGGTTATTAATCGCGGTATTCATTTATCCTAAAAAGATGGGAATATTTTTGCACAAATTAAAAGTACCGAAAAGATAAGAATAAAATTAGGTAAATCGTTAATTCATTAGTTTGTGAATAAAATAAAAAGTGTTGCCAATCACAAATCTCATTAAAAAATCGATTCCCCTTTTTGATCGATTACTTATGGTGTCATTATTACAATGCTAATATAATTTTTCGATAATTATTATGATGTTACGATATATATTTAAAAGGACTGTTGACAATGGATATTTATCCAAAGCAGCCGATACGCAACCGTTATCAACCAGTTGTTTATCCGACTACAGACGAAAAATGATGGTTATGTTTTTACTGTGTGCGCGGGTTAGGCTATGTTGAATCGTTTTTTGTTATGGTGCTTAAAAACGTAGGATGCATTTTATTATAGAGGGCGCTACTATCAAAGTAAAATACTTGACCAACTTTGAGAATTCTTTCACCACTAGATTGTTATGTATAATTTTAGATATCTAATATAGGATAAATTTTATTATAGAGGGCGCCACTTTCAATGAATACGTTTTTTGGCTAATCTCAAAAATTACTAGACCGATTTTGAAAATTCTTTCACCATTACATTGCTAATGAGGGCATTAGTTGTATGATAAAATTATATTATTACAATAATTAATTGTGAGATTAATATTTTCTAAATAAATAAAACTAAATACCTGCCTAAGATGTTCAAATCCAATTATTATTTTTAATACATAAATTAATTTAATAATCGTATTTGCACACTTTACTTACTCAGATTGATTATTATAGATAAAGAGGTAATAAATCTAAAGTAAAAGAGCTCCGCTTAAACGAAAAAACTATTTATTAAAATAAAACTAAAAGTTGAAAAAAACTGGTTCAGTGCGAGTCGGACTCGCAGACCCATGAAGAGTTCTGTAGTAACAAGCATATATTTTAAATCGAGTCAAAAATACCACTATCATTATCGCCAGCAACAAATTATTTTGTTTTACATAGTGTTTGTGTTAATAACAAAGTTGTTTTTGCGGTTCTTTAAAATGTGCTACTTGTATCTAAAAAAAAGGACTACTATACATTATACGGGTTTCTGTGCTTTATTCATTACCAAAGAGAAAAAACTTATTGCACAAAATGGGTTTTTATCCATTTCAAGTCATCAAAAGTGGTAGTCAACCGTTAAAAACAAAAACAACCGTTGTTATAGGATCGATGACAACCTTCACATTTATAGTTATGATAATTAAACAAGCGAATTACTACCTGATTTACCAAGAATTCTTTAGAGTATAACAAAACGCTACTGCACAATTTAACTGTTATTCTTATCTGTTCTTACATAACATTTAAAATGGAATTATGTTATGATAGTTCAAGAAGTTAATTTCTAGCTGATTTACCATAAATTCTCTAAAGCATAACAAAACAATACAGCACAAGTTAACTGTTCTTAAAAATACGTTTGAAATAGAATTTCAATAAATAAAGGAAATTATATTTTAAAAAGCGTGCAGAACTTAAAACGCGTCAAAGATTATTCTTTTTATGATATTATTAATCGAATAAAAATCGATATCGTTTCATATATTTTATGACAGTTAAGTGGCAACATCGAATCTGACAGGTTGGCCCCCGTCACTGTTATGTCACAAGAATTCAATTGCGTGTTATCGTGTTAGTTTGTTTTGTTGGAAAATGCAATTGTTGATCTCTCAACAATTGGATATAATTTTGGAGGTAAGTGTTTAACATTTTTCAATTTATTAAGATTGGTTTATTAAGTGTGATGCTCATATCTGACATGTTTTACACTAGTTAAACTCAAAAACTTGTTTTATTTTTTCACATCTGCACAAGCTATATCTGACAAACATACTAGCTTATTTATGAGAAATTTTTATCAACTACCAAGAAAGGAGACCGTTGATTTTTCATTGTATTTGGACTGCTGGTAGTCTGTCTTAATTATTAAATAATATAGGGTCACCTATCAGTATTTAGAATTTTAAATCACTTTGACTTAATTTTTTGTATTTTACATTATTTCAGTTGCCGTTGTGATGCCGTGTGCATCACAATTGCTGGCAATGAACTGATAGAACAGCATCACATTCAACTGCAGAACGGGAACCATCTGAATCATCTAGTCCATCCTCTTTGCAATCTGAAGTGAGTAATGTATTACACCCAGAACAACAAAGCTTAGATCATACATCACACACTGTACTGCTAACTAATTATTTAAAAGCGCCACTAACACCAAATCAATGCTTTTTACCTGGTTGTAACAATTCTTCGAGTGAAGCCGGCCACAGTCAAGCATGTGCAGTACTAGCATTTGTCAGGGGTGTCACAGACAAGATTGGCTACATCTTGAAGCGAGCTGACATGAAGCATCAAGGTTCAGGGAAGTTTGCAGTTTGTGATCATATCCTGGACGGCCCCAACCAGATAGATGTATAAAAAAGATTTGATAGACCACAAATCCTCTAAAAGGTACATCAATTCCTATCAAGGACCGATACCTGAGACTATTGAAATAAAAAAAAATTTTCAATAGAGAAGGAGGCTTGGTACTACCACCTGCTTAAGACCCTGTAATTAATGAAATTAAAATTAAACCCAAGCATACCATTGCAAGACTTCAAGACACAGTAAGTTCATTCTGAAGATCGGACCATAAATAAAAATTAAAAATCTGAAGGTAAGGTTAACACTGACATTGGGACGTCAGTCACCTAGTCCGCCGTAACCATGGGTGTTGGAAAGCACCCGAAACGTCTGGAATTAAAAATCAAAGAAATAAAACGCGATAAAATCGATAAAAATAGTTGTTAAAAAAACTGCATTTGTGAAAATAAAAACTTATATATCTTCAAAACCCCGACTTTTTTTAAAGCAATTCCTTAACCATTTCATATCTATATGCTTTTATATGTGGGCACCCATGGCCGAAGTGTCTATGAAGAGTGGGCAATCCCCTTTACGTTTAGATTGGTTTGATTACAGGCTTATACAGATGACTTTCAAGATTCTATCAATGCAGTTATACTCATAGTTAAAATAAAAATCAACCCGTGTTTAAAATTTGCATTCTTTGATATTTATAGAACTTTTTACAACATTTACTCGTGTGAGCTATGCAACCGGGACTGTCACAAAAATTTTAATAGTTATGTCTGAAAATATATGACAAACTGCTTTATAAATCTCATTAAAAAGTAAAAAAGACTGCATCTACGGTATCACAAACTATTACATCAATTATGGATAGAAATATCATAGTGCATTTAATTTTCAATTACTAATATCGGCCTTGATACAAAAACAAATTTTCAGTGTGTGTGAAAATGTTGTTCAAAATCACGGGACTGGGGATTTTAAATCTGGTCCAGTTCAATCCCCAAAAGATACAAGTTTGCGCGTTTACCGTTAAAAAGAACACCTACGTCGAATCTCCTCAGTTTCAAGGCAAACGCGTAAACAACGACGACCATTCCCGTGTCTACGGGTACTTTTCGTTGACCGTGTCCAAATAGCTAGGCTCCATGGTACAAAATATTCCATCCGCAGAGATCTTGACCCACGGCGATTTTAACGCGCACGACGCTGAATGGCTCGGTTCATGTTTTACCGATCATTTACCGAGGAGATCTATTTATGATTGCCTTGACAAAACTGGTTACTTCGCCTATGCGGATTCCAGATGTGAAGGATAATGCACATTCCCTATTGGGCTTTCTGCTGATTTCTCATCCGGTCGGATAACAAATCTCCGAGGACGCCCCTTTTGGCTCTTCAGATTATTATCTGATCCGGAGTATGGTGCCGCTTACGCGCCTATCGTTGCTGCGTTCTGCAAGCTGCCGCCGTCTATAGCACTATAGGTCAGCCAACGGGGACAGCGCAGACAGGACAGAACAGACTACCCCCCCAAGAGTGGGATGTAAATAATATATAGATGTACTACGGCTTCTTCGAAATCTTTTTTTCTTATTCCTCAGACATGCAGGTTTCCACACGATGTTTTCCTTCACCGGCGAGCATGTGGTAAAACAGCACTTAAAATTGCAATTAACAATTTCATTGGTGCCGGCGGGGATCGAACCCGGGTTACTCGCGTTCTGTTATATTTACAGCGAGCGTTAACCATCTGAGCTACCGCGACTCAAAAAATATTTCGAAGACATGTGAAGTTCGCAAACACGCATTGGGGCAGCGTGGCGGACCCTAAAACCCTCTCAGGAAATGAGGGGAGGCCTGTGCCCAGCAGTGGGACGTATATAGGCTGTAACTTTACTTTTACTACGGCTTCTGTGTTAGTTCTTACAATATTACTATTATTTTTTTGCACGGATAATAGCTTACGCCATTATTAGAAAGTTACTGTGGTTGAATTCGGCCAAGTAAACGTGATTACCGTTTCAATATTGTTCATAATTTGCAATCTATTCTTTCAGACGTTTCAGCCGGAGACAACAGATATTTATGACAAAAAAAATATGCCCCGACTGATATATTGCATACATGCTCTAAGCTCTCATCTGTTTAAGTTAGGGAAAGCACCACTTATCCATGATGTTTTTGGAAAAGCTGTGTTCACAGGTTGGTTTATATATTCAATTCAATTGAAATTTAAAGTAATTGATTTGCTTCAGACACATCTTAAAGTTTTAATACATAAGTACTTGATATCAATTTAACTTAGATGATCAACTGGGTTTCTTTTTTTTTTCAGACGAACAACTGGACTCAGTCTCGAAAGATTTGCAGAAATGCAAACATCCACTTCCTATGTTTCAAAAGATTGGTGGTATTTTATCTAATAATAATGTGGATAGTAATATTTCATTAAATGATGCAGTTATTGAACTAAATGATCTATTAGATACAGAAAAATCCATAACTTCTGCTATTTTAAATCCTGCATTGAAGTTAAAATATGTACAAAATCAATTAATTGATGTGTATAAAGAAGTTTTAAAAAATGCGAAACATGAAAAAATTAAAGTTGCACACAATCATTCCCTGAACGAGAGTTATGTTCCTGATGATTTTGATGAATTATTAACAATAGTTGAAATTCAGGGGTATATAACTGCAACTAATTTCAAATTTTTGTGGAAAAAATTATGTACAGCAAGTGAAAATAACGACATAAGCTCTTTACATAAAACATTTAATGAGGAGTGGGTGAAAATAAATAACTATGACTACAATAATTTAGATTTTTACTGTGATGTTGTGAAAGACATCATAGAAAGCAATAAAGATGTCGATGTAGAGAGCATAACAAATTGGCATAAAATATTTCAAAACATTATTAATGAAGGTAACAGAAAGTCACTTGAACATAAAGATCATAAGATGGCAATTGGTATTGTGAATAAATCATTAGATGAAGGCACTCCAGACGATCTTTATGCTGCATTGAAAAATCCTAAGTTAGGCTTGAACTTGAAAGTTGATAAATTTGCAATGCCTCTTTTATTTGAAGAAATGAGGTTAGAAAAATGTGAATTAGAAAGAAATCTAAATGAAAACGAAATTGCCGCCTCTATATCATATTTGACATCAATCGCCTGCATTTCTCGTGCTGTTGAGCGAGGTGATGAGACTGCAGTATGGAATTCTCTTAATTCTAATGAAATAAATTTAGAAGGACTAAGACCCCATTGTAGGCGTCGGTATTTCTCTGCACTTGTGACTGCTTTGCAAGTTAAACTTAAAGAACAGTTTGTATGTTCCTTATTAACACTTGATGATATTCGTGATGCTATTGAAATGGTGAATATGAAAGATGATGATAATGAAGAACGTAAGTACAATCACGGTCTTACTTATAATTGGGGCTAAGCGTAGCCGTAGCCCTTTTATCATTTACTTCCGATTTCATGAAATGTATGAATGAATGAATAAGATGAAACTTAGCACATATCTTAACACTTACTTTGTGTATGCATATTATATAAACTTCATTTTCATGTTTCTAGCTATATTCATTGATATAAAAATTAACATTTTACATACACACAAATTTATATCTACAATAGATGTAGAAATTAATATTTAGACTATGACGCTTAATAAGGTATTTTACACCTTGTAAAATAAAATCAAATAATATATATCTATGATAGATTTTGTAAAAAGTAAACAAGAAGTATTGTTTTCTGTTTATAAAATTGCATTATAAATTTTAAATTTCCATATTTAGAGAGCCGTGGTAGCTCAGATGGTTAGCGCTCGCTGTAAATTTCACAGTACGCGAGCAAACCGGGTTCGATCCCCGCTGGCACCAATGAAATTGTTAATTGCAATTTTAAGTGCTAATTTACCACGTGCTCGGCGGTGAAGGAACACATCGTGAGGAAATCTGCATGTCTGAGAAATAAGAAAAAATATATTAAAAAAACTAATACCCTCTCAGAAATGAGAGGAGGCCTGTGCCCAGCAGTGGGACGTATATAGGCTGTAACTTTACTTTACTTTACTTTTATATTAAGAATAATTTTTTTTCATCTGTTATATCTGCAAACGCTGTCGGCCATATTTGAACATGTCGTGACGTCACTAATCCAGCCTAAGTGGTTGGGCGGCGGGCCTTAGGGATGCCGATTCCGATTCCCCGGTCGAGCCTTTGACCCTATTACGCGAGATGTTATACTAGATGGACTGTATACGCGGTAAGCTTCTTCTGCTTCAACAAAATGGCGGATGTGGCATGCGGTTCCTTGACAATGCACTCGCTCTTCCGAAATCTATTGTTTGCCAAGGTTATGAAGGAATCCTGCTTGAGCACATTAGGAGGAATGAAATGGGGCGGATTAACTAACAAACAAATACCCAAGCAGGCATCATAGGAAAAGAAACACACTTACCGGGGTGTGACTTCGATGCGGCTTCTGTTGCTGCGGTGCGACTTCTGGCGGATCTCCTGGGGGTGGTGCGATGGAAGAGAGCGGTGCGCGACGATATCTCACACTAGGTGAGGCGGTTACTCCTGGAGCTCGACTGCTCCAGGTTGGTGCGGTTTGAAACTAGCGGTGCGCGTGGGCAAGAGCCCTCTAGGACGCGACTGTCCCAGGCGGTGTGGTTCCAACCAGCTGCGAAAAGGCAAGAGCGCGATCGAGCCCAGCGCGTCAATCAGAACACGTGGATCGTAAGGACTCACAGCTAGTGGAGGGTCACATGATAATAATACTATATATTATTGATGTGATTTGTTTATGGTTCCGAAAAAAGAGGTTTTTTTAATGAATATATATATATATATATATATATATATATATATATATATATATATATACACTCTTAATAAGCACTTAATACTTGCATCCATTGAGTAGCATAATTGGTATTTATTTTCTTTCAACAACGTGCAAAAGTCCACTTTGCCCTTCATCGCCAGTCTGTGTATTTTGAATCTGGCAATACGAGATGATTATATTGCCATCTGTTGGATGACTGAGTGATGGATTGTTTCATGAAATCAGAACAAGTTAGTAAATTCACTTACAGCATTCTGGTAAAATAATGCATGTATGGTATATTATAAAATCAATGCTATTATCAATAGCAAGTGAAGGGCATTATTGATGACATATAACGATGTAAATTTATTTATACCTGAAAAAAAATAAATTTTCATAAACGACAAATAAAATACGAAATTTCCAACTTATCCTCAAGATGCCAATATCTGGTCCATTGGATAGAATTATCAATTTACATAAACTTGTTTTAGTGGTAACCCTGATTGACGGCATCAACAAAGCTGTTGTGGAAGAAGATACTGAAAAATTAATAATGTTATTAAAAAATCCAAGTTTAAAACTGCCCTTGACATTGCACAAACAGGAATTTCACCTCTGTATGCGTACATTGAAGAAAAGCTCACACCAAAAAGAATCTCAAAATCTTTGGTATGAAGACATTGTACATGCAATTAATGAAGTTCATGCTGAATCACATAAAGTCAAGCAATTAACTGATGCCTTAGTGCAGCTAAACGTAGCTATATTTAAAAATAATATTAATGACTTTTGGAATACTCTCTCTTGCCCTATACTCTCTGTCGCAGATATTATTGAGGAAGAATGTTTGGAAGCATATTTTCAGATGTTTACAAAAGCTTTCAAGAAGAGAAGTCACCACATTTGTCCTTGGATTGTATGTCACACAGATGCTGGGAATACAGTGTACATTGACATTGAGTCTTATAATTATAGCTGGACAACTCCTAAAGACTTTGTTCCATATCCCAGATATTTAACGAAAAAAGATGTTTGTATGATTATTGAAAAGACTAACAAACACCAATATAAAACAAATAAGCAAAGGCTGTCGGAAAGAAAAATAATAAAGTTTCAAGCATACTGTAGAGGGTTTCTTGTAAGACAGGCAATAAAAAGAGAGAAGTTTTATAGAGAAAACGAAACGGCGATTGTTAAAATTCAAGCGTGGTGGAGGAAAATACTTACACAAAAGAAATATGCAACACTAATAAAAATGAAAACAATAGAGGCTAAATTGAAACAGGAAAAGAAGCGTAATCCTTGGGCTTGGTACAAAGTACAGGTATTTAATTTATTTAAATTAAATTTCTAAGCGACATATATTTATATTCGTTGATACGTCATTTAGTTAGTTTCTTCTACTTGACTTGACCGATTCAAGTAATTTGTTTGAAATAATATGCACACAATATATTTGTTTTTTATAATATATAATATATATAAATCATTTATTCATCAAGTAACACAGACTCATATGGGTATAATTATATCACCAGTCACATTACAAAAATTACATTACATTAGGTTCATTAAATTAAATTGAAATCAAAATAAAATTAAAATATTAAAATAATCAAATTAAAATCTCAATCAATATATCATAAATCAATGTAAAAGTAATTAAAAACAATAAACACTCACAATAAATACCTAATCTTCCCTTCACATGTCATATTAATTCCTACTGCGCACAATGTGTAGGCCACAACAATGTTTGATGTAGGGGCAATCTAGTCTACTTGCTATCGCGGTCAGCATGCTGTTGTGGCTCCCCCGCACTCGCCGTACCAGTGACGCTGCTCGCTTGCGCATTGTAGTGTGAAAACAGTCCACACGTGCACACGCGAACATCGTCGATGCACTACAGTACCGGGGGAGCCCCACCAACATCCTGAACGCGTTATTAAACTGGACGCGTAGGGCACCGTACGATATTTGCGCATAGTCAGTCCACAGGCTGCAGCTGTAAAAGGAAGTGCAATAAGCTTTGAAAAGAGTTACTTTCACTCCCTCCGAACACCGTGCAAACCTCCGGACCACCATGTTCGCTCTGACCGACAGCGCCCTCCGCTCCCGCTCAATGTCAGCATCGTCTCTCAGTGTGGGGGTGACAATATGGCCTAAGTATTTAAACTCATATACTCTCTTTAACGGTATTCCATTAAGTAGAATAGAAGGCATCTCCGTCACCTTATTAGAACCACTCTGAAAGACCATACACTGGCTCTTTTTACAATTATAGATCAGCCCCTGACCAGCTGCATAATCCTCACACGTTCTCAGAAGCTTTCTGAGTCCACAGACCGAGGCGCTCAGCAGAACCATGTCGTCCGCGTAGCTAATGTTATTGAAACAAACGCCATCTATATGACAACCGACATGTTGCTTGCTGAGCGCCTCAATCAGTTCATTAACGTACAGGTTGAATAAAGAAGGAGAGCTCAACCCACCCTGCCTCACACCACACTCCAGCCTGTATTGGTCTGACATAGTGCCCGCCCACTTCACGCTGTTACTTTGGTTCCCGTACCAAAACTTGAAAATGTGTACTAGTTCATCCGGTATATGGGCTTCCTTCATCTTCCTCCATAGTATGTCATAAGACACAAGGTCGAATGCCTTCGAAAGGTCAAGGAAACAAGCGTAAACAGGTGTTTTTCTTGTAGTGTAGTATTTGACAGCACTCTTCAAACACAATATAGCAGATTCAGTGGACAGCCCCGAACGAAACCCAAACTGACTGTCCTTTAACTGTATGTGTTGATTTAAATGTGTATTGAGAATGCTGTCAAACACTTTTGCTATTATAGTTGCCAGGGATATAGGTCTATAATTAGATATGTCTGACAAATCTCCCGCCCTATTTTTCACCACTGGTACCACAACAGTTTTCATCATATCCGCGGGCAGGTAAGAGTGAGATATGCAAAGATTGTACAACATGGACAACACCCTAGATATATGAGGCCCAGCGTGTTGTACATGTTCCACACTCAACCCATCATGCCCGGGGGATTTACCCTTTGAGATAGATTGTATTGCTTTCAACACATCTTTAGTTTTTATTCGGGTATTTAGATACTCCCCGCTCACCCCTCCTGTAGCCTGTGATATTGACGGTCCCAGAGGTGATTTGACAATTGAGAATTTAGAAATTTAGAATTATAGTTATAGTATATTGGGATAGGTGGCGCTGTAGTCGTTAACAAGTTCTATATTATGATTTCTTAAATTTACGCGAACACTACACATTGAATAAAACTACTATTTACGGATTTTATCGCGTTTAATTACTTTAATTTATTTTTATTATTATCCCGACGTTTCGGGTGCTTTACAGCGCCCATGGTCACGGGGGGACTGAGATATTTGATGTCCCAATGTCATAGTTAGTCCGGCTACCTTCAGTTTTTTAATATTAATTTTTGGTCCGATTTACGCAAAACGAGCTTATAGTATCATGAAGTCTTGCAGTGGTATGCTTGGGTTTGGGTTTAATTTTGTTAATTATAGGATCCCAAGCAGATGGTAGCACCCAACCATCTTCTCTATTGAAATTTGGATGTTTTTTAATTTCAATAGCTTCGCGTATCATCCTTGGTAGGAATCGGTGTTCTTTTGCGAGAATTTGTGGTTTATCAAATCTAATGTAATGGTGGGGACGATCTTGAACATGTTCGCAGACTGCAGACTTCCCCGAGCGTCGGTGCTTCACATCAGCTATATGTTCCTTCACGCGGGTTTTTATAGATCTCTTTGTTTGACCTATGTAAGAGAGACCACATTCACAATCTAGCTTATACACACCTGCATCTTGTAGAGGAATATTACATTTGATGGATGGTAAAAATTGACTAATCTTCTTCAGCGGCTTGTAGTATGTCTTAATGGACGCTCGCTTCAAGATGTAGCCAATCTTGTCCGTGACTCCTCTAACATATACATTAAAATTAATATTAAAAAACTGAAGGTAGCCGGACTAACTATGACATTGGGACGTCAAACATCTCAGTCCCCCCCGTGACCATGGGCGCTGTAAAGCACCCGAAACGTCGGGATAATAATAAAAATAAAGTAATTAAACGCGATAAAATCCGTAAATAATAGTTTTATTCAAAGTTCTATATTAACTTATAAGGAACTTATTCACTGTTGTTTTAGTGCTAAAAAGAAAATAATATAATCTAGATGGTATTGTGGTTAAGTTATAGACTTGCAACGAATAATATTCGGTCACACGCCGAATACCGAATATTCTGCGACTTCCTGGCCGAATAGCCGAATATTAGGCAAAAGTATTCGGCTAGAAAGGAAGTAGTGTTTAGTCTTCAGTGTCTTATCTCTAAAGCTGGGGTTGTCTAGCGAGAAGCAACGGAGTAAACTACTGCCTGAAAATGTAAGAAAATTATTCTTTCTGCACCATTATCATCCACTTTCATTACAATTATTCGAGTGCATAGACATATATCTGATAGTTCTTTTTTTAATTTTTATAATATGAAAGTAGATTATGTACCTATGCATGATACTTTAATCATTACAAGAAAAAAATATTTAATTATAAAATAAATAAATAGGTATTTTCATTTTACCAATTATCTGACTACAGAACACCTCTTACTTAAGTATTCGGTATTCGGCCGAATAGGCCAAATATTCGTTGCAAGTCTATAGTCTTTGCGTTGTAGCATGGTGCGAATGACAGCTCATGCCTATGAAATTTCGTATTTTTTTAGATAAACGGTCATACAAATATTGTTGTACTTCATGGATGGGTACCGCCCACTTACGATAGTGATGTGCCACGCTATAGATATTGCCATCCACGAAGACGCCCCCTACTATTTTTCCTAATCGTTTACAGTATAAGTGTACAAGCTTCCGCTAATGTATTATCGGTACACACTGACCATTGGACTTGGCAACACTAATAAACATATAGCGAAAGGCGCTAGCACTCGTACCTTTAAAAGCTGCCGGTGCAGTCAAAGCCGTACTGAAAATTATAGATGCTGGCAGCCATTTTATTTGTTAAATGTCAATGTGAATGTTGCAATCAACATGAAATAGAAGACGATTTTTACTTTCAAATTAATACATAGTATATAGGGCATTTATAACAAAAAGACAAAAACTATTTTTTAAATATTTGTCTGTCTGCCTGTGTGCTCCAGCGTATAGCTGATGTTATAAGGAGTAACACAGGCTACTTTTACTTTAGAAAAAAAATTTTGATTTCGGGCAAAAAAATTTTAAACCTATGAAATCGTAATAAATACCACGCAGGCGAAGTCGCGGAAACAGCTACCTATTATGTAATAATAATGTCATATGTCATTTACATGCATTGTGGTTTGTAAAGAAACATATGTTTCGGTTTAATTTTTTATATCGATTGCTAATTTGTATTTTGCTTTGTTAATCGTTAAACGCCTTTTTTTAAATAGATTTAAAATTATTCTATCTCTAGATACGACAAACTGTAAGCTGTCACCCGCACCATGCTATAACACAAAGACTATACATGATTAAAACTACTTTTACGGATTTTATCGCGTTTATTTTTACTTTTTATTTACTTTTATTTTTAATTCCCGACGTTTCGGGCGCTTTCCAGCACCCATGGTCACGGGGGATTGAGATGACTGACGTCCCGATATCATTGTTAAACCCGGAGTACCTTCAGCTTTTTTAATTATTGTTTATGGTCCGATCTATGCAAAATGAACTGACTATGTCCTGAGGTCTTGCAGTGGTATGCTTGGGTTTAGTTTTAATTTTATTGATTATAGGATCCCAAGCAGGTGGTAGTATCCAGCCTCCTTCTCTATTGAAATTAGGATGTTTTTTTAATTTCAATAGCCTCACGTATCATCCTTGGTAGGAATCGGTGTTCTTTCGCGAGGATTTGTGGTCTATCAAATCTGATGTAATGGTTGGGTCCGTCTAGGATATGATCACAAACTGCAGACTTCCCGGAACGTTGATGCTTCACATCAGCTATATGTTCTTTTACGCGGGTTTTATATAGGGCAAACAAAAAGATCAATTAGGACCCGCGTACTCCGGGTTTAACAATGACATCGGGACGTCAGTCATCTCAGTCCCCCGTGACCATGGGTGCTGGAAAGCGCCCGAAACGTCGGGAATTAAAAATAAAAGTAAATAAAAAGTAAAAATAAACGCGATAAAATCCGTAAAAGTAGTTTTAATCATGTATAGTGTTCGCGTAAATATAAGAAAACAAAGACTATAGTTATTAATTTTATATTTTTACAATATAAAAAGGCCAGTGTGAATTAGCAGAACAAAGTATTCAAGACCAGCTAGTCGTTACTAACTATTAAATACTGTAATTTCTTTTTTATTGATGTCAGCTTGAAACGTAACCTAACTTCGGGTTCCAGGTGTTTTAAGATATGGCAAATATAAACAATGCTTTCAGAATAATTCAGTTCCTTATGTTTTAATGCAAGTAAGGATGACAAATGAGCACACAGTCCACCTGATGCAAAGTAGATGCTGTGGTCTACAGACATCTAAATTTATCCTCGATTAAGAATCAAAATCAAATGAGTTGTCACTCCTGAGGACTAAGATCGAAGGCCTTGTTTCCAATTAAAAGGTTCTCCGGTTCTCTACACTCATACTCTCACACAACAAACACTGCATCGTTATGAGAGTAGAATTACTTTTTTATAATATCCAATTTAGACCCAATACAAAAATCGCAGGTTCTCTGCATCTCTTACAGCTCTTCCAGTTTATCCATATTGCTAAAAGAAATGTAATATCTATGTTTACGATATTTTGAAATACAAGAGAAATAAAAGATTTTTACTAAATTTTAAAATATTATTAGGATACATTTTGATTAAAAAAGGCCCCCTATAAAATAGATCAATATATTGTGGACATTAGTGTGGAAATGGCCATTATTCCAACATATACAACATGTAACATAATTAACGCACTTTGAGAAAGTAGTTTGTTCAGAATCATTTACTGAATCGATTCCTATCATTTTTAATATAGGTAATTTTTATCCCAAAAATAATTAAAACTACGTAAATTACAGTCACACTAAATCTGTATAGTCAAAATAAACTGAAATGGACCGTAACTTAAGGCAAAAGACTTTTAAAGAGTGCAGTTTTATTTATATTATTACTAATTCTGTCATTCAATAAAAATAAAGAACAATGAACTTTATTTCAAGCACGTTAAAGTATTCGCGTTCGTGTATTTGTACTGTGACCACAACATTCTTCCGGAATTAGTATAACTAATTTCATAAATAATCAGTGCATAAAAATGTTTAACTAAAAATTCAGTGTATGTATTATGATTATAACATAATATACTAATTGGGGTGTCTGAAGGTGTGCGTTAATTACGTTACATATTGTATATATATATATATATATATATATATATATATATATATATATATATATATATATATATATATATTAAAGAGACATTTGAAAAAATATTAATTTACATTTGACATATATGTTGTATAATTATGATATCATCACTTTGCATGAAAAAGCACCACAGAGTTTCTTGCCAGTTCTCCGAGAAAGTTTTGTTTTCTGAATCGAGTAGATTTTGACGTTCATTAAAGTTTATCGCTTTGACTAAATAATTTATTACATTATATGTGTTATTTTAGGGGTGTTATGACTCTTATGACGTTATGAGATAACAATACTGCTTTTGAAAATTATTGAGAAATAGTATTGTCAAAAATTTTAACAATTATGCAATGATGAGATTTAAAACTTTATGTTTTATTACAGGAACAGAAAATAATAAAAATACAAGCCCTTTGGCGTGGTCGACGCGCACGTCTAGCATTTGTATCATTATTTCATTCACCTAATCCACCTTTGAAAGTTGTCAAGAAATTCATTCCTATATTGGATTTTGCGACTGAGGATTATGATAGAGAAATAGAACTGCAAACTTTAAAATCGGAAGTCGTCCAATCAATAAGAAAGAACCAAGAACTTTCTAAACAGATAGACGATATGGACTTAAAAATAGGATTGCTGGTACAAAACCGTATCGCTCTACAGGAAGTGGCCGCACATGGCTTAAAACTTAACAATTTAGTTAAACATAATTCTATGACAAAACTTGTGTTTCAAAATCGCGAAGGCAAAGGATCATTAATGACGGTATCAACTGCTGTGAAAGGCTTAAAATCGCTCACCAAAGAAAGTAAAAGATTGCTTGATGGATATCAGCATTTATTCTACGAGCTACAGACAAATCCAACATATCTCTCCAAATTGTTGTTTTGTATACCACAGAACAAGACTAATTTTTTTCTTCAGAATGTTGTACTAAGCCTTTACAATTTTGGTGCATATGCAAGAGATGAGTATTTACTATTGAAATTGTTTCGATTTACTTTAGAAGAAGAAATAAGCTGCAAAGTATCGAAACCGTTTGACATTATCGCCTCTACACCGCTAGTACTTAAAATGGCCGTTAGTCTCTCACGACAGTTGTCTGGATTGAATAGTCTTCAAAGTATCATCGGTCCTCTCGTCGAAATGATATTAAAAGATAAAGATATGAACATTGAAACGGGTCCAGTAGAAATTTATAAGGCTTGGAGGAATGAGACGGAAATGAAGACTGGACAAATTTCGTAAGTAGTTTGATGTACATTTTGGAACTTATTATAAAGTTCATCTCTCTTTTTTTTCTTTTCTTCAATATTTTACTAGACATATTGTAATATTATGTGTTAATATGTACAATTCACAAGATCATGACTCTTCATCCTAACTAATCTCCGATATCATCGAATAGTTGTTACATTAATATTATAATAGAATCTTGTATTTCTCGCACGAATGGGTCGGCTCGACCGAGGAAGGATCACGCTCTCACAGAATTCCAGCGTGAAATAGCAGTCTAATAAATAAAAGCTTATATTATATATATTTGCGATCGATTGCTAAATAACCGAATTGCTGAGGGCAAAAATCGGGTCGTAAAATTCTCTATAGTCTTATACCTTATTTTATTTTTGATTAAATATATTTGATAACAAATCTTTACCGCTTTTAGAACACTGCCATATACAGTTACTCAAGAGGAGGCATTGAATTATCCAGAAGTAAAGTCGAGGCTACAAATCGCTTTGAGCCAATTAAAAACTGTAGTTACCATGTTTTTAGATAAAATAACTCGCTCTACTGAACTTTTACCGTTTTGTATTACATATATGGCCCGCGTTTTACATAGATCTTTAACTTCGAAATTTCCGCATACACCAGAGAAGGACATTCTTAAGGTTCGTTATCTCTTATAGTATTTTTCACCACATTCATTTAAAATCATAATTACTATTAAAATTTATTACTAGTATGAATTTCATACCAGAACATTTTAACAATACGGTAGAAGTCCGATAATCCGGCACGTTCGGGACCGGCTCGGTGCCGGACTACCGAAAATTCCGGTCTATCGGGCGGTAATTATAAGAACAATTAGGTTAATAATTAAACTACAAATACAGTATGCAAATATGTATGTATGTACATACAACAAAGTTTATTTTACATTTCATATACATAATGTATGTACACGTACTGTAAAACATATTTCACTTAGATTTAAAAAAAGTCACGAATGTCTTTTTGTTTTCTTGACTTTTGGCGTTTAGTATAAAATTTATTTCTAATGATATGGAAATCAATAATTTCTGAAGCACTGTAGCTAGTACTAGCCTCAGCAAAAGAGATAAACTTATTAACCTTTTGCTGCGCAATTCGTTTTGAGATTTTGTGCCGCTTGCTTTTTGAGTCCTTGGAAAAGAGAAGGTTTTTTAAAAAAAAAATATAGACAGTTAAGTGCAACTTCTGCCCAGCTGATTTTTTCCTTTTCTTCCGTTTCGGCATCTGAGTCACTTTCTTCAAGATTTTGAGTAGACTGAGGGTTATCTAGAATGTTGATAATGTCCTCATTGGTAAGTTCTTGTTCAAGAGGCTCATTCTCGTCGATTAGAAGCCACTGCTCTACCTCATCTTTTTGCAGGGTTTTCAAGGGATTGTCAGCACTTCTTACGACATCCAAAATCCGCATCGTGATTGATTAACGGAGCTAACTACCCGGCCGCTAACTACGTAATTGTTTCCGAACAATACCGAGCGCTTCCGGATGATCGCGAAATACTCCTAAAACTTCCGAATAGCTCTCGAGCGTTTTTATTTGCTTTAAAGACACACTTTTGGTGAAAATCGAAAACCAAAGAGCGATGCCGGACTATCGGGCATTCCGGACTGTTGGATGCCGGACTAATGGACTTCTACTGTATGTGATAATAAACTTTTATTGCTTATTAAAGGTTACAACTAATTAACCAAATTTTAATATTGTAGGTAATAGGTAACCTAGTGTATTATCAATTTTTGAATGCGGCTATAGTGGCGCCTGACGCTTTCCATATTATAAACATGCCTAATGGCACGGGCCTGACAACTGACCAACGAAAAAACCTTGCATCGGTTGCAAAAATTTTGCATTTTTCAGCTGCGAAAAAAGGCGTAAGTATTAACAAAACACATATTCATGATTATAATCATTCTCTTGAATTGTGTATATTAAATTATATATTTTTCTAGTTTGGTGAGGAATCCAGTCATCTCCGCTGCTTAAATCCGTTTATTGTGGAGTGTCATGAAAAAATGAAGGAATTATTTCGTCGGTGTTGCCGCGGACCAACCTTAGAAGAATACTTTGCCGTTGACGAGTACACTGAAGCAACACTTCTTCATCATCCACACATTTACATAACTGTTCAGGTGATTAATGTAACCGAGTCGGCAAACTTTACCCTACAACTCATGATATTTCTTTTCCTTGTTCTTCTCTTTTTCTTGTTCCACGTGTATTTCTTACACTCATTACAGAAATAAGCTAAGCGACGAAATCATATCGGTCATATTAAGTTATTTTAATATTAATATGTAAACGACAATACGTACGTAACTTAATATGTATTCAGACGACAATATCAACTCCTTGCTTTCATTAATTTTGACAGTCCAGTGTATTTCGAATTGAAAGCAACTACCAAATGTTGACATTACATGGTCATGCTACGAGGTCATGCCCTGCCTAGAAAAGAGGAGCGCGCAGGAAATATGAAATAGTTTGAAACAGTTTACGAGTTATTTTATTAGTTGATATTATTGATTGAGCAGTTTGATAGAGCAAGCCCGGCTTTTGGGCTTCTATGTAGGCTTCGCCACTGGTTCTGGTGTATTTCTTTATGGTTGTAGGTCTTATTTTTTCTGACAATCTTTTCCCCGATATGCTACTTTCCATAGCGTTTTGGCACTTTGCAAGTTTCATGTTATGAGCTTTAGTGATTGTCCAGTCTTGGCAACCATATGTTAGTACAAGCAAAACAGTTTCCGCTTGATGGTCATACTTATTTCTCTGTTTTCCGTAATTTATTTTAGACTCCAATATTGTTTCCATGCGTTCCCTGTGCGTCTATCAATTTCTTTTGAAGTTGAATGTGTTGGCGAGATTACTTAACCCAGATACACGTATTCATTAATCACTACTAGTTATTTTAATTATAATAATAATGCATGTATCGCCGTCACGCTTGTCGAGCTTATTAGAAATCGCAGTTTCGAAACCCTTCACTTTAGATGCCTTTCACAGACACCTTGCCCGTGCAATAATCTTATATTGCATTGAGTAGGATATAGTTAAATGATTTACCCAACGTATTTTAAAATCACAATTTTTAAATAGAAACCAAAATCAGACAAACATCAGACACAATATATATATTTTAAAACTACATGTCTTATAATCAAGCCGACTTTAAGCACAGAACACACGACATAAATAATGCATATCCACAATGAATAATATATATATATATATATATATATATATATATATATATATATATATATATAATGTTTGGATAATATATAATGAAATAAATATTTGAAGTAAAAAAAGAAGAAAAGAAAAACAAGAATTAAGGAAAAATAATGTCAAATAGTAGTTGCCTTCAGGTAATGTTCTCGGAGAAGAACTTTGAAAACTTTTTTATTTTAGGCATTCCAGAGGGTGCTCCAATATTGTATAGCTTGTATCGTAAGACGACCTAAAAAAATTAGACTTATGCTGTGGAAACCTTAACCTCAGACGGTTTGACTGTCGGGAAGTTCGACCGTCGATCGAATGAAAAAAATGAAAAATATCCTTAAGATAAGAAGGCGACCTTGGATCGTTTAAAATTGAATAAAGTACAAGTAAAATTCTAGAGCATTTAAGCTTTGAAAGATAGGATGATATGTATTCATACTTACGTAAACCAAAAATAAACCTTATGGAATTATTAAGAAGGCGCTCCAACTTGTTTAGAAGAATTTTTGACAGATCTGAGTAACATACATCGGCATAGTCGATAATAGGTAGAATGAGGGAATGAACCAGCGTTCTATCATCTATCTGTCATCAGCGTTATATTATCTAGCTAGTATAACCATAAGTACTGTTATACGAATGTTTTTATCCCTTTCGCTGTTCCGTGTACTAAATATAGGTCATTGCTATTGGTTTCCTATTGTGTCTGAAAACCGAACAGTGAGTGTTAAATGAATATTGTTATAATGATAAAACTAGTGTAATTTTTTTTCCAATCCTAAGCAATTAGATAAAAATAACTTTATTTGCAGCCCTTGGCTTTAATACAGGCTTTTTAAAGTCTTTGCCCACTAATCTATGGGTTTAGGCATTTCATGGGAAATTATTATATATTACTTACGAGGTAACGTTTTGTGCATGCCATATTCTCTAGTACTGATCATACTTTGTAGTCTAAACAGGCTAAAGCTAAAATCAGGATCTGGGCTGGGCTCATACCAGTCTTCAACTCTTATGAAGTCCGTAACATTATCCTGGCTAGGGGCAGAGTTGCTGGACAATCCACTATAAACTTTTGAATAATCTATCACTGGAAGGCTTTACTACGTGTTCCAAGACTACGTGTTTATAAATTTGACCAAAGCCCTTTACTCATTTTTGACAAAAATGAAACTTCGTGAATCGTGACTCCTTGGTAGTAAACCCCTCCACCTATCAAACCATGATTGATTCAGGGTGATAACCACGTTAAACCTTTCTAACAAGTTACGAGGTTACTTAGAGCTGTGAATATTCAATTTGTTATTTGCTTGTTTTGGTGCTCTAACCGTTAAAAAAATCATTTATAAACACACATTTCTTTGTCTTCCACTAGAGTATTGATTAGCAAGCGTTTTGATTCATCCACTTCCTCAAGCTAGCCGTGTAGTGGCGGTTAAGAATATCCACTACCCCATATCTTCCCGTAGGTGTCGTAAGAGGCGACAGAGGGAGACAGGCAGGAGATGGGCAGCAGCATCTTCCTGATAACAGCAACTGTACAACAAAAAAAACTGCGGTTGCCAACCCGCTCGCCAAGCGTGGCAACTATGGCAATATACCCCCCATGAACAATTATACAAATAGACGGCCCCAGTCCCCGGCGGCCCCGCTATTCCTGGCTACAGTGGCGACCATGGTAACGGCTGGGCAGGGGGTGCTAAGAATCTCCGGTGGAGGTTCGGTTGCCACCTACGGCGACTCGACCTGGCAACATTTAACGCACGCACCCTGAGGACTGACGAGAAGATCCTGGAGCTGGAAGAAGAGATAGAAAAGTTGCGCTGGAATATTATAGGATTATCCGAGGTCCGAAGAGAGTCACGGTGATTCTCGAATCCGGCAACTTGTTCTATCACCGGGAGGGCGACCATCTGTCCCAAGGAGGTGTCGGATTTATCGTCCACAAGTCTCTCGTCAACAACGTTGTAAAGATTGGGAGTGTGTCGACGAGGGTCGCGTACCTGATACTCAGAATCACCAAACGGTATTCGCTGAAGGTCATACAGGTTTACGCACCAACCTCGGCACATCCCGATGAGGAGGTGGAGGAAATGTATGAGGATATTTCCAAAGCCATGCATTCCTCCAAAACCCACTACACGGTGTTGATGGGAGACTTCAACGCAAAACTAGGCACAAGAGAAAACGGTGAGCTGAAGTTAGGGAAATTTGGAGTAGGGCAACGGAACCGAAGGGGCCAGCAGCTGGCCGACTTTATGGAGAAAGAGGGACTCCGGTCCCACAGGAAGTGGACCTGGTCGAGCCCCGACGGTTCGACAAAAAATGAGATTGACTTCATTATGACGACCAGACGCCAACTGTTCAGTGATGTCTCAGTGATCGCAAGGGTGAAAACTGGCAGCGATCACCGAATGGTTAAAGGCACACTGAACCTAAACGTTAAGTTGGAGAGGTCTCGTCTAATGAAGTCAACGCTCCGTCCCCCTCGTGCTCTAATCCAGAATCCCGAAAACTTTCAGCTCGAGTTACGTAACCGCATTCAGTGCCTACAAGATTGCAATGCAGTGGACGATATGAATGACAAGCTCGTGGAAACTGTCCATGCGGTCGGAGCTAAGTTATGCAAGATCTGCCGCAGAAGAACACAAAAAACCCTCCGATCACACTCTTAATCTCATGGCTGTTAGACGGGAGATGAGGCTGCAATCGTCAACAGATTTGACAGCATACAGGCAACTGAACAGACAGATCTCCAAATGCATGCGGCGAGACTTACGCAACTTTAATACTGCTCGTATTAAAGAAGCGATCGAGCGGAACCAGGGCTCCAAAGTCTTTGCCAGAGATCTGTCTGCCAGTAAGAGCCAACCGTCAAAGCTGAAGTCTGAGTGTGGCAGTATCGTTTCCGGGATACCTGAGATTTTGAGTGAGATTGAGAGATTCAATGGGCAGCTGTACACATCATCATTGGAGCCACACGCAAGTGTGAGTAACGATCCAAGAACAAGTCTTATCCGATACTATTCCGATGATATCCCGGACGTCAGTCTAAGCGAGATTAGAATGGCTCTCCAGCACCTTAAAAACGGCAGGGCCCGAGGCGAGGATGGAATTACAGCGGAGCTTCTGAAAGCGGGTGGAACACCTACTTCAAGTCCTTCAGAAGCTCTTCAATTCCGTCCTCCATGGTGGCACTACTCCAGAGGCGTGGAGCAGGAGTGCGGTGGTCTTGTTCTTTAAGAAAGAACCGACAACGATTCTCTCTTAAAGTACTACAGACCGATTTCCCTTCTGAGCCGCGTCTACGTGCTGTTTTCGAGAGTCATTACGAATCGTCTCGCACGCAGACTCGACGACTTCCAGCCTCCCGAACAAGCCGGTTTCCGAAAAGGCTTCAGTACCATAGACCACATACATACCCTGCGGCAGATTGTACAGAAGACTGAAGAGTACAATCTGCCACTTTGCCTGGCGTATGTGGACTATGATAATCCCTTTGATTCCGTCGAAATTTGGGCGGTGCTACAGTCCCTTCAGCGGTGCCAAGTTGACTGTCGGTATATCGAAGTGCTGAAGTGTTTGTACAGTAGGGCTACGATGGCTATCCGAGTACAGAACCAGAGCTCGAAACCTATCCAACTGCAGAGAGGTGTAAGACAGGGTGACGTTATATCCCCGAAACTCTTCACCCCTGCATTGGAAGACGTTTTCAAGCTACTGGACTGGAAAGGATACGGTATTAACATCAATGGCGAGTACATCACTCACCTTCGATTTGCCGACGATATAGTCCTTATGGCAGAATCGCTGGAGGACTTAAGCACTATGCTCAATGACCTCAATAGTGCCTCCCAACGGATAGGTCTTAAGATGAACATGGACAAAACAAAGATCACGTTTAATGTCCATGTCACACCTATGCCGGTAGTTGTTGGGAGCACTATGCTCGAAGTTGTTGACAAGTACGTTTACCTGGGACAAATAGTCCGACTAGGTAAGTCCAACTTAAGACCGAGAGGTCAATCGACGGATTCAACTCGGCTGGGCAGCGTTCGGGAAATTACGACATATCTTCTCGTCAGGTATACCTCAATCTCTAAAAACTATATTGTACAACCAGTGCGTGTTGCCAGTGATGACTTACGGATCTGAGACGTGGTCCTTCACTGCTGACCGTATGAGGACGCTCAAGGTCAAGAGGGCTATGCTCGGAGTTTCTCTGCGTGATAAACTCAGAAATGAGGATATCTGCAGTAAAACCAGAGTGACCGACATAGCCCAACGGATTAGTAAGCTGAAGTGGCAATGGGCCGGCCATATAGCTCGAAGAACCGATAACCGATGGGGAAGAAAGGTTCTCGAGTGGCAGCCTCGTACCGGTAGGCGTAGGGCGACCCCCCACTAGATGGAGTGACGACCTGGTAAGATATCCTGGAAGTCGATGGATGCAGGTGGCTCGGGACCGTGCTTTGTGGCATTACTTGGGGGAGGCCTATGTGCAGCAGTGCACTTGTGAAGGGCTGTAATAATGATGATGACTTCCTCAAGCTGCAGGTACTAATAATAAATTTAGGCATAGCCTCTGTATTTTTTATGTTAGTTTGTACGACGATACGTATACGACTACGTGCTTTTAAGGTCTTGTTTAATTCGCGATAATCCTACCTACCTACCATAACATAGCCGGGAGTCTTTATTTCACGCGATAATTAATTTTTTTCCTAAATGGTTTCTTCGAATTTCGACTCATCCGTAGCATCCATAGTCCATTTGGCTGTAACAGGTGTCGTCCCGATGTTTATTGATTTTCGGCAGTGTAATTGTTTGTGAACCCGTCAATAGTCCGATACACAAACACACGGCTTTTGAAGTATCTTAATGACTGACGACAGTAATGTAAAGCAATGACTGTAATTAATTCCCTTCTCCATAATGTATTTTAACAACCATGTTAAAAAATAACATGTGAAATACGAATTTTCTTAGGGGTAAACTTTTGAAATGTGAGTTCAGAAAAAATATAAACTTCAGTTAATTTTAACGTTATGTTTGTGAGTAGTTTATTGTTATTTAAATGTTTGTGATTGCTTTATCAAAAATCTCATTAAATATAAACAATCATGAATATTCATCAACAACCAAACTTCAATTAATTTAAAGAAGAACCTGCCAGGCAAATACCTTTATTTTGATATTTCAATTTATAACGTCTGTTGTTTTAGGAAATAGTAGACACTCATGCTCTACTTGTGGAATACCAAGATATCTTAGCGCCTGACCCCAACGATCGTCTTAACGAACTATTGGACGATCTAGGAGAAGTTCCTACTGTTGCACAACTTGCATCAAGAGATGTCGATTCCGTGAGTAAAAATATGTATTTCTGTATTAGCGTTTAATATAATATATATTAACATAATTCTAATTTGTGCAATGTTACTTATCCAGCAAGCAACGGATTCAGAAGAGAATGCTCGTCTGGAAGTTTGCTTGGCTCTCGTCAATAAATTCCAAGCACCAACAGACGACATGACAGACCTTAATAAACTGTTCATCAAGACAAAAGAACTTTGTGTGGCAGTAATTCCATTCCTTAATGGTAAGATAAATAACTAAACTTAACTTAAAATAACTAGTACTCATTATAACTGTATAATGAGTACTATGTATTTTAAAAGAAAACAATTTTATTAGGTACGAGCTTATCCACTCCGGCTTCGCACGTATGTTTTCTGGATCTCGTCAACAGCGCCATCTACCGGGTGTAATTGTGAAACTAAACCATTCGTGGATACGCTCAAACACACACAAAAATTTCATCAAAATCGTTCGAGCTCTTTTTGAGCTTTAGCGACACTAACGGACAGCTATTGATTTTTATATATAGAGATAATTAATTTTACTAATTTAACCTTGCAAATTTCCTATAAAATTGCAAAATAAATTGGGAATAAATTTTAATACCTGTTACTTGAAACGAACAGTAGATTATTATTTTTTCGGTAGATAAATTACTGTGGCAGTAAAACATGTACAGTAGTTAAAAATTAATTGTTAGGTCATTTACTCCTACAGCGCCAATACAAAAAAAAAATACTCAAGTAATTTATTAAATGTATTTGGTAATTGTCGGTGTGCGGTTCTGTTAAGAGTGCGCAAAGCGTGCAAAGCCTCTGTCTCAACGAAGTGATTGCGGCTGATTGCAAATCAGCATTCAGGGATTAGCGAATCAAATGCATGCATACATTTCAAGCTCGATTGAGATAAATTACCGTGTCTTATGAGGAATAAAATTGGTGTATGCGCTCTGGCGCAATTGAATATATCTCATAAATTTAAGATAATTTTAGAACTATAATGAGTTGGCCCTTAAATGTCTTTGTTTTTTGATTTACGAGGGCCGCTCGGAAGGTTTTGCGAAACTAAAAAAAGTTCTATGCTTAAAGTTTTTATTATGAAATATTTTTAAAGAACTTCCTCAGCATCTAAAGAATGTTTCATGCGTCGGTAGCAATTTTCGAAACACTTCCCAGTCTGCCGTCGACACCTCTTCTACGGCTTGCTCAAACGCTAACGCACATCATGGTTGTAAGAAAAGTGACCCGAACGTTTAACGTTGTTCAGGAAGTCCAGCGTTTTGAGCGCCAAGGCGCGTTGGTAAAGCAATAGCATGCCGAGCCCAGTGTTCAGTCGCTTGTTGCTCACAGCAGTTTATGCCTTTGGCAAGTATTTGGTAGTATACCCATTGGCATTGATACTATTTTGATTTCGTAATGGAATGAACAATATACGATAACCCCGTCAAAGTGAAAAAAACTAGCGATCAAAATCTTTTCTGCGATTTTCAATAGCTTCACATTGGTATTTGATAGGTGTTGGTTTATTTTGAAAGAGTTTTAATTTATTGATAGTATTAATAAATCTGATTTTCATCAATTTTTTTGCGTTCCGGAGCCACGCTGCAGCTATATTGTTACAACACGAATAGGTCGACTCGACCGGGGTAGGATCACGCTCTCACAGAATGCCAGCGTAAAATAGCAGCTTCATACTGCTGTTTTACGCTGGTATTGTACTGTGTTTCGTATTCTATATCGAATGTAGAGAACCGGAGACCTTTTCTACTGGAAACGAAGCATTCCACCTTAGTCCTCACGGGTTACCACGCATCTGCATTTAGATTCGTAATCAAGCATAAATTTTGGATGTCTTTAAGCCGCAGCGTCCACTTGCCATCAGGTGGACTGTGTGCTCGTGTGTCACCCTTATTCTATAAAAAAAAGAATGTCCAGCAGTGGACTTCAAAGACCAAATGCAGAAGAAGAAATAAATATACAACACGAATACTTTTGAAACCTTTATTGTTAAGGTAAAATTTAGTTAACTTGAATTTCATTATAATAAAATAAGGGATATTGTCTTTTTATAAAGGTGAACATCTCCTAGAGGCAATCTGTATTGGAACGACAAAAGAACAACAAGAACTATATAGTGAGAAGGTGCAGAAACGAATATATTCAGGCCAAGCCAAACCAGACGAAGTTATGTCTTTACGAGAGCACATTGCAAAGCTTCGACGAAATCTACAAATGCTTGAGGACGAGGGTTACGTAACCCGAGAAGATGGATATCAGGCCCTGGTGACGTCGATAGCTCTTGACCTATGTAATAAGGGCAAATATAGGCAAGCACAAAAGAGAGCTTTAGCGACACTCACACGGACTAAACAGAGCCTTACGGAGAAAACAAAATATTACGAAGAGAAATGCAAATCATACGATCAGTATATAAAGTCTTGTCTTGCGAATCTTCATGCCGGTAAGAAGTAAGTATGTAATTTATTATGAATAAAACACTTCGTAACTTGCACTTGTCATAATTATCTCCGAAGATAACACCTTCTCTAGGTTGCTGATCATGAGGTCCCAGGTTCAAATCCCGGGTTGGACCAAAATCAGTTTTTCTGTCAAGAAATTTTCAGAAGCAGCCCGGAGTCTGAAAATTGGGGGTGTTTAAACCCCGGGCCTGGCAAAACACGTAAAGCCGTTGGTCCTGCGCCTGATCTCTCACTGATCCTGTGGGATTATCATCTTAGCGGATTATGAGAATGGAGAAATAGAGAGTGCACCTGTGCTTGCGCACACACTTGGGCACTATAATCCTGTCCAGCGCAGATGGCTAGTCTGAAGACTGGCTGCCGTGACTGAAATTCGGTCCGGAAGGACATTAATTATCTCTGTTTTTGCTAGATTTTTATTTAATTATTTAACTTCATAATTTACTTATTGTAAGATGTAACTTTTTTGTAACATTGAATAGCAGTATCTAAATAGTATTTACTTTCACAGAAGTGTCCACGCGTGCTTAAGAAGATCTGGCAAAGATATTCAGAAGTTGAAATCGAAGTTAACGGTAAAGTACACTGGTGCAAAGTTATTAGAAAGAGGAGTTCTACTGGAAATAGATGGTCTCTCTCCGTCACAATTTAAGAATGTGCAGTTTGACATTACCCCCACCGATCATTACGGAGTGTTCACAGTTAAAGGGAAATTTATGGGGGTAGAAATGGAATCTATTGATATTGACATTCAGGATCTTTTACAGAAACAGTACGAGGGCTGTGCTATCATAGACTTATTTGGTAAAGCTAAGATTAATGTTAATTTATTGATATTTTTATTAAACAGTAAGTTTTATGGTAAGTCCTAATGATTTCGACATTATTAGATGAATTGTTATGATATGAAATTCATGTACAAAATGTGTTAACCAAATCATCAATTTCACTTTATTAAGTATTTTACACCAAATATTTATTTACAGGTGTATTTATACCAATAAAACTATTATATATTAATCATTCGGTGTTGTTGAATTAAAGAATGAGCTTTACAACTCTTTACACTTAAATTTGAAGTGCCTTCATATGACATTGTGATTTTACGTTATTACTAATGATCGAGAATTTCGTGACAATTATACTTTAAATTTCTTTTTTTTTTTTGATACGTTTTTAATGTGTGACTGTCCTGTCTAAATAAAATTTCAGATTTTTTAACAATAATATCAAGTGTTATAGCCATGTTTACTGTTAACTTTAGGTTTAATTATATTCAAATTTCCGATCACTAGTATATCCTAGTATTAAATAAGTTTGTACCTTGCTCTCTTAACTTTGGCTTTAATGTCACATTTTGCATCACAAGTATTGTAGGCAACTTATAATAATTAACAATGTTCAAATGATTTACTTTTCAGTTTCTTAATACGCTATTTTATAAGTTATGTTTAACACGATTTTAAAAATAAATGAGGCTTTTTTAATTAAAACTTTCTTTTATTAATACTTAACCTGGCAATAATTTCGATATAGATTGACATTTACAGTTGAGTTAAACTGCGGCATAAAATCACGACTTGTCAACTTATAGTATGCTCGGTGTACATTTTACATACGGATACAGATTACAATAACGACAAGAATGATAATATGTGATAATAAATAATGTATAGAGATTTAACATAAGTTATCTGTGATACAGTGCATTATCGACAGTATTTATTTATTTGATAAATATGCGCCGAATAACGAAAAAATTGTTAATGTTTATGTGTGGTTTAATTTTTACGTATATTTACTGTGAGTTTCTCATTTATTACGTGGTTGTAGCTCAGGTAATTCATTTAAATCTAACGCAGAAATTATTTAGTCATTGATACAAATGCATTAAAAAATTCTATAATTTCAGTGCGGTTGGCCGGCATTAGACAATTTAAACGACACACAATACCTCAAAGCATTTATAGCAGCAGACCCACATCTACTTGGTCCATACCGAGGTCACTGGTTAGACAAGTGGAGGCGTGAATATCAGATGCAGCAGGCCTTTCAAGCAATAATTACAATACACAAGCCTGATGTAGTGTTTATTTTAGGTTAGTTTACAGTTGTTTACTTTATATGTTAAATTTTACAACTGATTTCGCAAATTTAAACTGTGTCGAAAATTTTTATTCGAATTTATAAGTATAACTTCATAATGGATTGACGCTATGTTTAGTAGTGAACTGCCATAGTCTAATGATTATGCTGATGTTTGCTTTAGCCGATTCAAAACAATGAGATTATCAATTCAACTGCATTTTTGTATGTTTTACTGCACAATTGATTTTTCCAATTTTTGTATTTACAGACTGATATCCCTTAAGTGCATATTGTATGAAAAATGATAAGATGAGATAATCAATTGATAATTTTGTTTTACTACGTAAATATAAAACTACGCCGTATGTTAAATATGTCATTTGCCTAATCATCTTTTAGTATGTTTAATTAATCGATGACCATTTCCGAAATAATTTGGCGGTAATTATGAAAAAAAATTTCTTGTCTGTCATAACCTTTTTCGTGGGATTATAACTTTTTGTTAATTTTTTTCGGAGTGATTTCAATACAAAAGCTAACCCCGAAAAATATTTAAAATACGGGTATTGTTTCACCATTAAACATAATACCTATTTGAAGTGAATTTTACTGGCGTTTAATAAAAAAAATCATAATTTTAGTTGTATCAAAAATGATACATTATGCAGTTAGTAGGTTCCCGCTTGTACATTTTCGCTATTATAGTAGGCTTGTATGTTATGTAATTGTAATATGTTCTTTCATCACTTTTGGAGCATGCAAAAAAGAAAAATAAAAAATAATGAGATCGAAGACCTTTTAGCAAGATTGGAAGGTGGACTTCTATCGGAGGACGAAGCAGAGTCCGATGATGATGAATTAGATTATCACTCAAATATTGACGAAATTCGTGCTACTTTAGGAAATCACGAGGAAAAACAAATGTGTTCCGGTGATTCCCGTAATCGTCAAATCCAGGACGAAGATGATCCACCGCTTGTAAATGACGAAAATTACATGCGAAATGATGATGATCCGCCCCCTGGTGAATGAAGGTAGTGGTTATGCACAAAATATTTCCAAAAAGCGTCATATTACGATTAAAACTGCTAGACTCACATGGAGGATTTTTCCCTGATTTAAGACCTAAACATCTAAATCATATGATTAAATGAGTTAAAACAAAAACTTCATGCGCTTAAGGGATATACTATAAATTTATAGTCGTCCTATAAGAATATCAAAGGGATATTTTGTTATTTGTTTTATTTCTTAAATTATCAAATTATAATATTATCTCTCTGATTCTGAACTTGGATAGCCATCGTAGCCCTACTATACAAACACTTCAGCACTTCTAGATACCGACAGTTAACTTGACACAGCTGAAGGGACTGCAGCACTGCCAAAATTTCGATGGAATCAAAGGCTTTCTCATAGTCCACATACGCAAGACAAAGTGGGGGATTGTACTCTTCGGTCTTCTGTACAATTTATGTATGTATGTAGTCTATAGTGCTAAAGCTTTTTCGGAAACCGGCTTGCTCGAGAGGCCGGAAGTCGTCGAGTCTGTGTACGAGACGATTAGTAATAACTCTAAATCAAGAGCGTGATGCCGCCTTTTTGCTACCGTAGGAGCTGAATTAAAGAGCTTCTGAAGTACTTAGTACTGGTTTTCCACCCGCTTTCAGAAGCTTCGCTGTAATTGTGTCCTCGCCCGGGGCCTTTTCGTTTTTAAGATGCTGGTGAGTTATTCTAATCTTGCTCAGCCTGACGTTGGGATATCATCGTAAAATTGTCGGATAAAACTCGCTATTGGATCATCTCTCACACGACACATCATCGTTGGAGCAACACGTAAGTGTGCTCCAACGATGACGTGTACATCTGCCCATAGGACCTCTCAATCTCACTCAAAATTTCATTTGTCCCGAAAAGATGCTGCTACATTCGGTTTCCAGCTTCGACAGTTGGCTCTTCCTGGCAGACAGACCTCTGGCAAAGACTTGGAGCCCTGTTTCCGCTCGATAGCTTCTTCAATACGAGCTGTATTGAATAGAATAGAATATAATAGAATAATTTTTTATTCAATATAGATTACAAGTAATTCTTATTGAAAGTCAATATTTTACGTTACCACTGGTTCGAAAAAAAAACCTCTGTCCTGGGAAGAACCAGCAAGAAACCCAGCGGGACTTTTTTTAAAAATAAAATTTACTATGTCTGGGATCACAAAATATTTACAAAATTTATTTTAGAAACAGCTTGGAAGCGACCACCTGATTCCCAGGGGTTATTGTCAACCATGTATTCATTTATATCATAATAACCCTTTTTATACAGTTTTTCTTTAATTAAATATTTAAACTTGGTGATAGAGAGACCTTGTATATTTTCTGGGACTTTGTTGCAATAGCGTATACATTGCCCAAGAATGAATTACTGACTCTGTGGCGTTGAGAAACTGGTAGAGCGCCAGCTTGTGTTTGTTCCTAGTGTTAAGTCTTTTTTTACTAAAACTACCTTTATTTTTGTGAACATACATCAAATTTTCATAGATATACTGAGAGGCCAAAGTTAATATATTTATTTCTTAAAAATTTTCTCTAAGAGACTCTCTCGGTTTAAGATTGTAAATAGCTCTAATGGCCCTCTTCTGCAAAACAGAAATAGTTTCTAAATCAGCCGCATTCCCCTATAGCAAAATTCCATATGACATTATGCTATGGAAATAACTGAAATAAACTTATCTAGCTGTCTCGACACTAGTGAGACCTCTAATCTTTATTACAGCATTAGCTGCAGAGCTTAGTCTGCTTGCTATTTTAGATATATGGGGACCCCCTGAAGCTTAGCGCCGAGAGTGTGCCCAGAATACAGAGGACTCAACAGAACTCAGTTCTTCCCCATTTAAAAACACATTGGTACTCGGATTATACACTATGCCGTGTAGTGGCGGTTAAGAATATCCACTACCCCATATCTTCCCGTGGGTGTCGTAAAAAGCGACAGAGGTAAACAGGCAGGAGATGGGCAGCAGCATCTTCCTGATAACAGCAACTGTACGACAAAAAAAAACTGCGTTTGCCAACCCGCTCGCCAAGCGTGGCAACTATGGCAATATACCCCCCATGAACAATTACACAAATAGACGGCCCCCAGTCCCCGGCAGCCCCGCTATTCCTGGCTACGGTGGCGACCATGGTAACGGCGGGGCAGGGGGTGCTAAGAATCTCCGGTGGAGGTTCGGTTGCCACCTACGACGACTCGACCTGGCAACATTTAACGCACGCACCCTGAGGACTGAAGAGAAGATCCTGGAACTGGAAGAAGAGATAGACAAGTTGCGCTGGAATATTATAGGATTATCCGAGGTCAGAAGAGAGGGGGAGAACACGGTGATTCTCGAATCCGGCAACTTGTTCTATCACCGGGAGGGCGACCATCTGTCCCAAGGAGGTGTCGGATTTATCGTCCACAAGTCTCTCGTCAACAACGTTGTAAAGATTGGGAGTGTGTCAACGAGGGTCGCGTACCTGATACTCAGAATCACCAAACGGTATTCGCTGAAGGTCATACAGGTTTACGCACCAACCTCGGCACATCCCGATGAGGAGGTGGAGGAAATGTATGAGGATATTTCCAAAGCCATGCATTCCTCCAAAACCCACTACACGGTGTTGATGGGAGACTTCAACGCAAAACTAGACACAAGAGAAAGCGGTGAGCTGAAGTTAGGGAAATTTGGAGTAGGGCAACGGAACCGAAGGGGCCAGCAGCTGGCCGACTTTATGGAGAAAGAGGGACTCTTTATGATGAACTCTTTCTTCCAGAAGCGGCCCCACAGGAAGTGGACCTGGTCGAGCTCCGACGGTTCGACAAAAAATGAGATTGACTTCATTATGACGACCAGACGCCAACTGTTCAGTGATGTCTCAGTGATCGCAAGGGTGAAAACTGGCACGATCACCGAATGGTTAGAGGCAACTGAACCTAAACGTTAAGTTGGAGAGGTCTCGTCTAATGAAGTCAACGCTCCGTCCCCCTCGTGCTCTAATCCAGAATCCCGAAAACTTTCAGCTCGAGTTACGTAACCGCTTTCAGTGCCTAAAAGATTGCAATGCAGTGGACGATATGAATGACAAGCTCGTGGAAACTGTCCATGCGGTCGGAGCTAAGTTCTGCAAGACCCGCCGCAGAAGAACACAAAAACTCTCCGATCACACTCTTAATCTCATGGCTGTTAGACGGGAGATGAGGCTGCAATCGTCAACAGATTTGACAGCATACAGGCAACTGAACAGACAGATCTCCAAATGCATGCGGCGAGACTTACGCACCTTTAATACTGCTCGTATTAAAGAAGCGATCGAGCGGAACCAGGGCTCCAAAGTCTTTGCCAGAGATCTGTCTGCCAGTAAGAGCCAACTGTCAAAGCTGAAGACTGAGTGTGGCAGCATCGTTTCCGGGACACATGAGATTTTGAGTGAGATTGAGAGGTTCTATGGGCAGCTGTACACATCATCGTTGGAGCCACACGCAAGTGTGAGTAACGATCCAAGAGCAAGTCTTATCCGACACTATTCCGATGATATCCCGGACGTCAGTCTAAGCGAGATTAGAATGGCTCTCCAGCACCTTAAAAACGGCAGGGCCCCAGGCGAGGATGGAATACAGCGGAGCTTCTGAAAGCGGATGGAACACCGGTACTTGAAGTCCTTCAGAAGCTCTTCAATTCCGTCCTCCATGGTGGCACTACTCCAGAGGCGTGGAGCAGAAGTGCGGTGGTCTTGTTCTTTAAGAAAGGCGACAACGCTCTCTTAAAGAACTACAGACCGATTTCCCTTCTGAGCCGCGTCTACGTGCTGTTTTCGAGAGTCATTACGAATCAACCCAAGCCACCCCCCCAAAGAACATCAAGACAGCAAGAAAAGAAAGCAAAACCAGAAACCCAAAGAAGCAAGGGAGCCCACCCCTTACTGGGCAGCGTTCGGGAAATTACGACATATCTTCTCGTCAGGTATACATAAATCTCTAAAAACTAGATTGTACAACCAGTGCGTGTTGCTAGTGATGACTTACGGATCTGAGACGTGGTCCTTCACTGCTGGCCGTATGAGGACGCTCAAGGTCGCTCAGCGAGCTATGGAGAGGGCTATGCTCGGAGTTTCCCTGCGTGATAGACTCAGAAATGAGGATATCCGCAGTAAAACCAGAGTGACCGACATAGCCCAACGGATTAGTAAGAGGAAGTGGCAATGGACCGGCCATATAGCTCGAAGAACCGATAACCGATGGGAAAGAAAGGTTCTTGAGTGGCAGCCTCGTACCGGTAGGCGTAGTGTAGGGCGACCCCCCACTAGATGGAGTGACGACCTGGTAAGATATGCAGGAAGTCGATGGATGCAGGTGGCTCAGGACCGTGCTTTGTGGCATTACTTGGGGGAGGCCTATGTTCAGCAGTGGACTTGTGAAGGGCTGTAATGATGATGATGATGATGACTCGGATTATTAACATTTGTTGTTGTAAATTTAATACATTTAGTTTCATTGCCGTTTAAATGTAGATTATTAACGTTAAACCAATGCACTAATAAAAATAGCATTATTCACTTCGTCACATTTAAATGATTGACGTTTAAGTTTAGAAATCAAGCAATTATCATCATCAAATAATATTATATCATGATTATCCCCTACAAGGGAGGGTAAGTCATTAATATACACTAAAAATAAGAATGGGCCATGAATTGAGCCCTGAGGGACCCATCTGTAGGGGCCATCCGGAAGAACTTTTATCATTGATAACAACTCTCTGCACTCTATTACTTAAATATGAAATAACTAGTTTAAGCGCTGTGTTCTTGACACCATAGTACTGTAGCTTCCTGATTAATGTCTCATGGTGAACACAGTCGAAGGCCTTGGAAAGGTCACAAAATATACCCAAAGCATCCTCTGAATTCTCCCATGCACAAAAAATATGTTTCATAAGCTCAACTCCGGCATCGGTTATCGAGCGACCCCTTTTAAAACCAAATTGACTTGTATGGAGCAATGTATTTTTATAAAAAAAACTTATCATCCGATGTAAAATAATTTTTTCAAAAATTTTACTAAAAGTTGGTAGTACAGAAATTGGCCTAAAATTGGCGGGGTCAGATGTACTACCAGATTTTAATAAAGGTATAACTTTACTATGTTTCATTAAATCAGAAAACACACCAGTTTCGACGCTTTTTTTGATTTAATATCTTTTGGCAGTACTCTATGGAATTTAAAAATATTTGGATAAGCCTTTACATTTTGTTTAAGCCATAATTCGGCGATAGTAGGAGAAGAATTTAATGATTTTTTTGTCAAAAAAGGAACATCAGTAAAATGTTTCTCAAAAGCCATAGCAACTTCCTCATCAGATTGAGTCAATTTATTGTTAATAGTTTAAGATCCGAATCGAGCGGTTTAACCTTGCCCGTTTCACTGTTAATTATACTCCATTTTAATTTTGTTGGATGCGGTTTTAATTTTGTTGTAAAGCCTTAGCTGTGAAGCATACTTTTGAAGTTGCGTAAGTCCCGCCGCATGTATTTGAAGATGTATGTTCAGTTGCCTGTGCTGTAAAGTCTGCTGAAGACTGCAGATTCGTTTCCCGTTTAACAGCCATGAGATTAAGAGTGTGAATGGAGACTTTTAATGTTTTTCTGATCGGAGAGTTTTTGTGTTCTTCTGCGACAGGTCTTGCAGAAATTAGCTCCGACCTATATACCTTATTAAGGCACTTATATATATCATGCACAGGTGCTAGCTGCTGGTGGGACACCTTTTCTGCCTATAGTAGTCTGTCTGGGTCCACCCTTTTCTGCTGCCGCTAAATAGCGGTATTTAGTATAGAGAGCCAGTATTATTGCGGGCTGTGATGCATTCCATCACAGCCCTCAAAGGTTACACATCTGTACTCTTCGTTATTTGGCTTACCATCAGGTGGACTGTGAATTCGTTTGTCACTTAAGTGGTTTAGAAAAGCAGAAAATCAACTATAATCACATCATCTTCAGCAGATTATATTAAATGAACATTTATGTTTTCAGGAGATCTTTTTGATGAAGGTGAATGGAGCAATGAAAAGCAGTTTCGAAATTACGTAGACCGTTTCTTCAAAATATTTTCAGTACCGGAAGACATGAAGATGCATGTTGTGGCTGGTAATCACGATATTGGCTTCCATAATAAGTATGAACATTTCCATGGCTATCAACCATTAATAGCTTATTTTCCCCGTGCTAATGGGCCATAATGCAATGCCCAGAAGTAGACTGTTACTGGTTAGTAACAGCCCACTTGCTCAACAGCAGCCTCTCGCTGTATGAAAGTTTATATTATATTAAATTGTTATTAATTTATTACGTGAGCTGGAATACATTTTTGAATGTTGTAATTTTTTATGCCAGTGATACCAAGATGGTTAATTTATTCAATTCTTACTTAAGGGTCCTTCTGTCTTAAGTTATTACATAGTTAGCTAACCTGACAACATCTTATTGTGACCATATCAATAGTAAAAATCTTTGATGTTTTAAATAAATAGATTGACTTGGATGAATCACATGAAAACACAATGTATCTCACAAGTAATACATATTATTATATAAAGTTCGATTGTTTAGTGCAATTGGCCAAGTCAATCTATTTATTTAAAACATAAAAGGTTTTTAATATTGATATGTTCACAACAATAAGATGTTGGTAGGTTAAATAATTATGTAATAACTTAAGACAGACGGACCCTTAAGTAGGGACTGAATATATTAACCGACTTGGTATTAAATGGATCTCACAACTTTTTACGGTATAAGAACTAAGTTGCGTGCGAGACTCGGTTTTTTTTACAAGTTATGTTTTTGATGGCATCTCATTTCTTTTTGTAGATAGTCCTAATTTTTCCTTTTCTGGTACCTTCTACTTCTTGAATACCAACAACGCACCTTTCTACACCTATTATTCCATTATATTATACACTAGCTTGCCAGACGGACGTTGTTCTGCCCTTTTCGACGACCCTGTCAAGTCTTATTAAAATCCTTTAATTCACAAAAACAAAAATTGTGGGTCACTCATCGGCAAAAAAACTATCTTATCTCTCAAGTTGGACTAAACTGCACACGGTGTGCAAATTTGATTAAAATCGGTTAAGTAGTTTAGGAGTCCATCGCGGACAAACAACGTGACACGTAATTTACATAGGTATAAGATATGCACAGGTGTACTGATTCATTCACTGCAAATGTAACTTTGTAATCCTATATATTTATATGGGATTACAAAGTTATTTATGCAGTTGGTGTATCTAGAAAACTGGACCGAAATTGCAAAATATTTTTGTTTTTCCTTAATTAACACACACTAATTGTATTCCAAATTTGAAGCCTATGTCTGCTAGAAGTGCCTTAGAGTTTTGATGATCGGTCAAGTCGGTCAGTGAATTAAGAAATTTTTACTTGTTATAATTCTTAAACTACTGGTTCAAATTGAATGAAATTTGAAATATATCGTGTTTATACTATGTTTACTTGGTTACTGAAAACTCAGGCTTCTAGTTTTATCTACAACGAAGTTATAGGGGGTCGAAAATGGCCTGAACTGCTTCGAGAAAAGGATGGTTACGGCCGCCGTGCCGCTTTTTTGCTCGACTTGGCGCGGGCACTACCGTGCCCCCAGATTTAAGAATTACGTTTCCGTAAATAACTATCACAAAAACTTAATGTGTATTAATATTATAAATAATTTTAAACCTTAAATTATTTTAATCCTTTTTATTTCTTCATAATATGTAAACTTTCAGATATCATTGATTAAACAATGGACTTGACCGCGATACTTAGGGGAACCAACTTAACTACCTAGGGACTATGTTATAACATGCAATAATAATGCCAGTTCTGAATTTTATTCAGTTTAAATTGTCATAAAAAGTCGTATTTGCTATGTGATCTTATTCTTGCGATCGTACATTCGTAAAAAAAAATTAATAATCGTAGGAGTAAGATTTAAATCGTAGATGTGGCAGTCCTGGGTTCGATTCGACACCGCCGGCCAGTATGAACTTTTAATTGAAATTGTATGTGTGTGACCGTGTATTGGCGCTGTAAGAGTATCAATAAGTGTCGTAAGAGGCGACAGAGGTAAACTGAAACAGGGGAAACGCTTCGGGAAGTCTGCAGTTTGTCAACATCCGATAATTCACAAACCACAAATCCTCGCAAAAGAACATCGTTTTCTACCAAGGATGATTAGTGAGGCTATTGAAATTAAAAAAAGTACATCCTAATTTCAATAGAGAAGGAGGCTGGGTACTTCCACCTGCTTGGCATCCTGTAATTAATAAAAAACTAAACCTAAGCACACCACTGTAAGAATAAGTCAAAGCACAGAATAAATAATAGTACTACGTACAGAAGTTGCACTCCTTTTATGTCGACTGCTTACCGACGTTTAATATCCTACATAATTATTATTAATCAGATAAATCGCACACACAAGCTAAATAAAACTTTATCGCTGTGCGCTAGTGTCCATATTACTTTGCATCTTTTTTGTCACGGCGGACTTTCCGTGGTTATTAAGGGATGTTAATAGAAAGTAAAAAAATACATTGCGAAATGTTAATTATGTTACTTAGGTGAAGTACTAACTAATATTCTGACTATGATTGACTAATCATACTTTCGCCCATATGTGAGTTCTGCGTCATTCGTCGGGAATCGTAACGCTTGGGAGAAATAGGTAGATAGTGTAAACAACAAATAAACCTGAAATACGATTTCTAACAGAAATGTGATCTATTCTACTTAGTTAAAAATCTTGTTAGTATACAAAGTTTTAATTTCAGTATTTTGTGTTATTATAATTCAAAATATTTTAATTACAAAAGACAAGTATAGGTATGTAAGTAATTACTTGGATAGTGAAGTAAATTTTAACTAATTTTTGTAATGAAGTACTTAGGTATTTCTTCTGTAGACAAAATTATTACTTAATTCTTTTTGCTGTGAGTACCTATCTAACAAAAAAATTAAATAAATTCACCTTTCATAACTTCCTTCTAAAATTCTTCGGTAACTTAAAGAATGATATGAAACCTTTTGTTGGTCATTTCATTTAGTATCCATCTAAGCAACAGTTATAGTAGGAACGACGTTTTGCTATTATAATTTATCAAATAGGTAATATACATATTATATAATTTTTAAAATACATTAAAATTTTTACAACTATTTTTACCTACAATTAAATATACTAAACACTAAACAAAAACTATTTCAACAACTATTTACATAAAACTATTTACGTAAACAGCGTTAAAAAACTTAAACATTTAATCTTCCCAACACGCTAGCCCTGACTGCGTAATTTCGCCCGGGCGCGTCGCGATTGTAGGTAATTATTTCACATAGGTAGCAAGAGTGATAGAGGCCTGTTCAAAGTAACTTCATCCCGCGTTTACTATTATTATTACTGTTACATGTCAATTTATCAAATTTATTTTATTAAAAGTAAATTCTGCAGCACTCTTGATCTTGTATACACTGATGTCAAAAGCGTAGTTTTCTTGAAAAGCCATTAATTATTTAATTTTATACTTTTAGAATCAGAAAAAGTACAGTTCAAAGATTCGTAACTTTATTACGAGCACCTTCAGTACAACACCTAACATTAAAAGGTAGCCATTTCATCCTGATAAATTCAATGGCACTTCATGGCGATTCCTGCGAACTATGTAAAGATGCTAGGAACTCTATTGACAAGATTTCAGGTAAATTACCAATGTACATCATCATCATCATCATCATTACAGCCCTTCACAAGTCCACTGCTGAATATAGGCCTCCCCCAAGGTATGCCACAAAGCACGGTCCTGAGCCACCTGCATATATCGACTTCCTGCATGTCTTAGAAGGTCGTCATTACTAGAAAACGTTTTTTTCCCCAACGGTTGTCGGTTCTTCGAGCTATATGGCCAGGCAATTGCCACTTCAGCTTACTAATCCGTTGGGCTATGTCGGTCACTCTGGTTCTACTGCGGATATTCTAATTTCTAATTTTATCATGGAGAGAATGACTGATCATATCATATCTCCATAGCTCGCTGAGCGACTTTGAGCGTTCTCATACGGCCAGCAGTGAAGGAAATGGCGTAAGGTAAATCCAATAACCCATATCATCCCATGGGTGTCGTAAGAGGCAATAAAGGAAAATAGAAAAAGGGAATGGACATAAGTTTATTCTTGTTATGAGCTCAAAATAATAAAAAAACTGTAGTTGCCTGCCTGGTTAGCGTAGCAGCTATGGTGCAAATCCCCTTTTAAGGGAGTCTATAGACGAAGCCTATATTCAACAGTGGACTTCTGGTAGGCAGCAATAAATTAATGAATAAAATTATGTTACAATGAGATGTTGGTTGCAGATTAAAAATGTTTTTAGTATCATCAGTATTGCTAGCCAAGTTTGCTACTGACATACAGACCTACCCCCATGTATTGCTAAACACCGGCATCGTTCTGGGCTATCGGCTCTGAGTATCTACCCAGGTCATGATCGTTCCAAACAGTCGGGTAGAGCTTGGTTACTCTGCTATAAACCATATAAATTAATAAACGCTAATTTCCCTTTTTGTGATCGGTTCTATGAATTACTTGCATCTTTTCACAATGGTGAACAGTGACTTCTTTGGCAAGGATACAAAAACGAAAAAACAAGGATTTTATTAAAAACCGTCAGTTTTTTTTTTTTAGAGAATTTGCTTTGTGGAGAGAACCCACATCAGTGTAAAACAGATAAAGCTACGTTGAATAATACGCGTCCGATTATTATGCAGGTAAAGAAATATTTTTATTTATTTTAGGGATACCAGGGTAAGTTTAACTTGCATCTTTGCATTAAAAATATCTGTAATTATTAAAAACATCCAACTTTATTTAAATACTGCCTGTTTTTTAGCATTTTCCCTTGTATCGCTTTTCTGACGCTGTATGTACAGAATCTGATTCACCACCATTTCCGGAAAGAAATAAGAAATTTCGTCTTAAAATAGATGCTTTATCCCAAGAAGCCACAAAATATTTAATAACTAAGTTGAAGCCCAGAGCAGTATTCGGCGGACATACGCACCATGGATGTTTGCTTCACCATTCATATGAATATTTGGACAATAAAGATTTTTGGGAATATTCTGTACCATCTTTTTCGTGGAGAAACAGACCTGATCCGAAATATATGTTGGTATGGACCAAAATTCCGCAGTTATAAATTACTTGATAATTATATATTTAAATATCTTATATTTTCAGTTATCTATAACACCTGATATCTATGCTGCTAATAAGTGTGGCTTGCCTAAGGAAAGTACAATAGCGTTAACTGCTATCATAATGATATTTTGTTTAATTATTATCTTCTGTATGAAGAGGACAATTGGAAGAGAATATATGAGGATTAATTTAAAAGCAAGAATTCCTTCTCATGATTATATTTTACAATAAATAATTCTGACAAGAGCGAGCATTTTTGTACACTGTACACATTAATGTAGATTAATAGTTTCCATTTGGGACACCAGAAATAATTCTTTTTAAATAAAACGGCCATACATACACCAAAAAGCGAAATATAAAAAATACTTGTCAAACTACAATTCATAGTGTCTCAAACGGAAAAATAACAATTTATTATTCAAATTGCCTACGAGATTATCACAATCAGTAGTTGCTTACATACAATAACCTAAAATTAAAGATTCCGAAATAAATTATTAATGAACTAATAAAGTAAATTAGAGGTAGATAAAAGTTTTAGAGATTCATTGATTCCTAACAATAACAAATACTGATTTTAGGTATGTACTATAACAGTTAAAAAAGTAAACATTAACTTTTACTATTTTCAATCGATGGGATATTACGAGAGTATAAGTTTTATGAGATTCAATAGTTTTAAGTACATGTTACAAGAAAATAAATTGGGTTGCTTCCATCTACACATTCAAAGCTTAAAAACTAAGAAAATCAGTCTATGAACTCTCAGATGAGTTCGCTCCCTATAAAGGTACACCTACAGTGAGCTTTGACAACTAATGCTATCATAGTTCTTAATTCAATACATTTTGTGGACACCATTACTTATATCAAACGAACAACAACAATCTAGATGGCTGTAGTTGTATAACCTACAAGGTTAAGGCACTTTCTAAATATCCCTATAAAAGTAATTGTAAGTACAATTAATACAAAAACCAGATATTAATGAGTATTATCAATTTTAACAGCAGTTATGAGGGTATTAACACCACATTTTCTAATTTGCAGTGTATCTGATATTTTCATGCCGAAATATTTATATTATCACTATATTATTTTTATATGATTCCATAGTCTTACGAAATAGGTATAATGGTATAATAAATACTGATATCAGTACTTAAATAACAATAAGATCATATGATGTGACTCATTAATAGCTCTTACATTATAAGTTTTACAAAAGCATACGCATATCATACCCATACATGACTACAGATTTGTCTTTATAGAAAGTTTTTATTTTATTCTTCTGAACAAAGCTTGGTAACCACATTTTAACTTGTCTTAAAACCATACATTCACACACTCACAAAGTGAAAAGGACAAAGTCGACACCGACCATGCCCTTTCTCGAGTTCTATAAAAATATAATTTGAAGCACTCTCGGTTGCTGTAAGGGTTGCGTTTGACCGGGGAGGTCATGCGAGCGAGAACGCTTGTTCACGGCGTGAGCTCGCGTTCGCGTTGGCTGCACTTGCTTCTGATGGTAGCCCGTGTGCGCGTGTCGGGCCGAAGAGCATATGACAGCGTGGAGGTAACGATCATACCTGCACAGATTTGAATCGCCACCGCTCGCTAAATCTAGGTACCCATTACCAGAATTTTCAGACTTTATTTTTTGGAATGCGTACACGGGCTTCTCGCTTACAGTATGCGATCTGTTACGATGCTTATGGTATTTATTGGTAATCTCTTCATCATTGGTTACAGGGTCACTGGGCTTTCTGCAAAAGAAAAAAATATTATTATTAGGATGAACTTTTTCAAAATTCTGGTTTAATCATAATATTCTCCCTAAATGTTTATCAACCTTTTTAATACACTGGATGATATAAAACATAATTTTTTTTAAGAATGCATAAAAAGATATGTATTGTTTAAGATTTACGCACGTTGGGCAAAAGGGACTGTGAGAACAGGGTTGGTATAGTAGATATCGTCTCTCATACTGTTTAGGCTGCCACCCATTGCGATACCATTGATTGGTCGCCAGTAGTGGTGGGTCGTTGTCAAATTTTTGATGGACGAAACGCAAACCGTATTCCCGACGATGAAAATGGTTGTAGAAACGGTCTTCGTTGCAACTGGTCTGAAGACGGCTTAACGGACGAAACTTATCAACAATGTATGAGAATTGCGTTTTCGTTGAGTGAAATGTTTGCAGTTTCTTACAACTATCAACAATTCGAAATGTATGAAATGGTTTAATAAATAATTAGTTTTATCGATCGACTTCACTTAACGAATGAACTTCCCTTCATACTTTTCCAGGCTGAGGACTGGTTGAGACCGACTTAGCATTAACATTAACGAATTTATTTTATTGGCAAAATATGTTTGTAAACGAACGCGGAACCGGACTATAATATAACGCGGAAAGTTAAGGACGAAGAAGCGACGAGTGAGATAGATAGTTGAATCATTGCGTTCTCGACTGTATTTTCATAGGCGTATAATAAAAAATCGCACCAAGACTGGTATTTGCAACGAAGACTGTTTGAACCCAGGCTGTAAAACGGTTTCATCGTTCGCAGAACACAAAATAGTCTTTGTAAACAGTTCGTCGTCGCAACGCCAACCCCTAGTCGCCAGAGCGTCGTTCGTTAGTTAATAAGGTCATCACTGCCGAATACGTGGTTAAATTTTTTTGTTAAAACTTAAATACTCTATAATTCTGTCAATTAACTTTTTTTATTGGGTAATATTATATCAGTTGTGTGTTGGCGACGCAAGGAGTTATCCAGCTCTCATTTCACGTGGCTGTTGTAGGTTGCGACATGCTCAACAGATGGCGGTAAACGTTTTTCATTCATTGACGGCGATAACAATATTTTTCATTTAATGCTAGAGCCAGATGTAAAATAATCTGAGCGACGACAGGAAGCTGCGTCAAAGACGCGTGACGTCTGGTATGGAGGTCATTAATCGGTTTGATAATGGTGTCAATTATTATAGTAAATCAGCGGACTTTTACTGGCTGGCTAAGTAGAAAGTATGTTATTATTGTTTAGAAATAGCTGTAAGATACTAACCTTGAAGTTTGAAAGTTCAGGTGATTCTTTTCCATGTTAGCCTGAATGATTTCTAGGAGTTCTCGTCTTTGCAAGCTGCCTGAACGTTTCTTAATGTGCCTGTGTTCGCGGTGTTCTTTTCTTGGATGCCGATGATTCCGGTGACGAGTTGCCGCCGGTCTTTGCTGCGGTCTCCGGTCTCCAGAACAGGAGGATTTGGATGACGCATCATCGTCGAACGAAAGTCTCCCGTGTTCATCTTCACTGTTATCCGCGCATTCGGGCGGGGCTGTATTTTGATTTTGTTCCTGCCGGCGTCTTCTCCTCCCCTCCCGCCTGTCGCGCTCACCACGCGTCCTCCCATCTTCGGGTACGACCGTTAATCGCACTTGAATCGTTTTCGATCCATAGTGGGGAACCGTGACTGACTTTCCAATCGACTCGTATATTGTAGACACGATACCAGCAATATCCTGTGAACAATAAATTTTATTTAATAATGATTTCTTATATTTACGCGAACACTACACATTTAAATAATACTAGTTTTTACGGATTTTATCGCGTATAATGATTCCTTATATTTACGCGAACACTACACATTTAAATTATACTAGTTTTCACGCGATAAAATCCGTAAAAACTTGTATTATTTTATTTAATATATTAATTATGATGACGTTTTGTAACACAACTTGACAGAATTTATATTATAGACTTAATTTTGGCGTTTAACTAAAATTAGGTCATCCAAAGATTCATAATATAAATTAATATCAATATCAAAATTAGTAAGTAGCTCTAATATTAATCTACGGTTACTAGTTTATATTTGATCGATCGAAGTGAAAATTGGAAAAGTATTTTTCAGTAAATACCTAATTTTGATTGTGATGGACACAAACAATTATATTACTATTTGTACTGATGACATCGTACTCTCGTATCGTAGTTTCAACTTCGATCAAACCAGTATTATCTTAGTTTACAGTGGTACTCATTAGAAGTTAAATTATAAATAAAATATGTACCTATTACGTACGTAAACGGTCATTCATAATTATATTCTACTAGCAATTTGACCCGGCTTCGCACGCGTGATATGTGGATTCTACAACAGCGCCACCTTCCGGGTCCACATGTGCCTATAACCTTCGCGGCACTTCCGCGCAAGCAATAAGTTGATAAAGTTTTACCGCGATCTGATGAATGGTATGGCAGCGCATAAAATACGAACAAACACACATTAAATATCGATAAAATGGAATTCAATGGAATTTGTAGGCACTATTTTGCTCACTCTAAAACTAATATAATGCCCCATTTACATTCAGCCCCGTTGGGCAGGGAAGTGAGCAGGGCAGTACAGGGCAGTGTGTAAACAGCCTACTCCCGCTGACACCGCTGCCGCTGCCACTGCCCGACGATCCCTCAAATGTCGGTTTTTCGTGCGGAAGTCAAAGGACGGGCAGCGCGAGCGGCAGTGAGTGTTCACATTCAGCTCCATCGCTCACTTCGCGCCAAGCGCCTAGACGAACGGATGTGCGTGCTGTCTTGTGATTAAATAACTACGATCTGCCGAAATGTCTTTCGAGTGGAATAATGAAAATACAATAAAGTTTTTAGAACTGCTGGAATCAGAAAAAACTATATGGGATTTCTACGATAAAAACCACAATTCATCATCTTCTACGAATACGAATTTTCTTTTTGAGATAACATAGTACCTATGTACAAAACATTATAAATTCGTCAAATTTATTATATTAATATAAAATTTAGTTTAAGGAATTAATGAACATTGACATTTTATTTCTAAAAACGATTAGTAACTCATATTGATTATTTATTTATAAAAATGTAAAATAAGTTAAATGGTATATTTTGCATAATAGCCTGAGATTTTTTAAATTATAATTTTATTGTAATTAAAATTATGAATTAATTTATACTGTAGTGTAATTATTAAAATAATAATAGCTTAACTAATCTCATATACTATTTAATATTATTTATGTAACAAAAATGTAATAATTCAATTAATAATTTATGAACAATTTACTGTATAAGAATTCAAATAGAGAGGATCTGTATAAGTATTTAATTGTACATAATATTTGAATTCAAAAAGAATGTTTGTACCTAACTTTTAAGCAATGCAATAATTTTAAAATGTAACATTGGGTTTGTGTAATTAGCTGTATATTCATATTATTTTTGCATGCCAATTATGGCAAAACATGTCAGTCCCACGTCATTGATCATCTTATGTACCATGTTTTAAGCAAATAAATTTTCTATCTATCTATCTATCTTCTTCTGAACTTGATATCTTTTTAAATTTTTAACATAATTTTGTATTGCAAGAAGACACAGCGCGGACGCTGTAATTATTTCGACGTCTGCCATAGGCGAAAGCCGAAAGTGATGCGAGTGGTAGGGCAGAGGGCAGAGTGTAAATACACACTTCCCGCGATCCTGCTGTGGCAGTATTTAGCGAAGTATTGACGGCAGCGCGAGGAGCAGTGGTAGGGGCTGAATGTAAATGAGGCTAAAGACAAATATAAGCTAATCACAACTCGTTCATTATGATTTATTTATACTGAATGTGTTTATTTGAAACTCACATCCTTAGTCATGCGACCGTGTCCGTCGAGGTCATACAGTGTGAAGGAGAACTGAAGTGGCTGTTGTTTAGACGGCTCAGGATGCTTCAGCTCCACGTCGCACGTCAACTCCTGTAAACAAAATTACAATTTGTTGTAGTTTCTTTGTAAATAACAGCTTTTACATCCCTCTTTTAAATTTCATCTTAGCGAGGCGTATAGCGAAAAATGCAGTCACAAACGCTGAAATTTAATTTCTCCGACCGCTTATTGCCAGTAGCATTACCAGAGCCTGAGTATCTTCTATCTTCCCTGTGTATATTAACTCGCCTGGGTCAGCTTGGACAAATCTACCACGAAATACCTGCTAGCTGTTGCGTAATTGGAGAGATCCAACGCATATACAATATTACAATATAATATGCTCTTTAAACTATGACAATATAATATTACGATATTAGGGTTACGATTATAAGCTGCTTCATCCATGACAGTGTAAGAAAGTCCACCGCTAAATACAAGCCTTCTACGCCTTATATTTTGACATAGTTCCAAGCTACTTGTTTTAATATAACGTTTCTATATTTTGCATTATTGAGAAAACGTGCTTGGTTAATTTATCCATACTGATAATTAAAACATATATGCGCAGAGCTCAATATGCATATTCATAGCTGTGGATCGGCGCCTTTGTCAGAAACAAAAGAAAAACTGAACTGAGATAACGATAAATCATTGTCGTCCCTATATAAGAATAGAATTCTTATCCTTGTATGTTTTATACATATTTATATTAAAGCTCAAGTATAAAATACGTCAAGTATGAATTTAATTCAGTTTTAACGGCACGTATATGATTTATGATCTATCTTGGCCGCCTTTACGAAATATTTTTAGCGTACTTATCAAAATAAGAACAGCATATATAATATTATATATAGGTACATAATAAATAATAATGCAGTTATTAACAACGGAAAACACGGAAACTCATTATGACCGACGCTCACGCACAAGCGTAGTTAATGCAATATTAGGTACGAATGAAAAAAATCCGAAAAATATTATATGAAACAATACTATATCGTCCTGTCCTAAGTCCTGACTGGGATTGTCTGTCATAATTCGTTCCCATATAGCTAACAAGAAGAAATGTATGTTGTATAGTAAGCCATACGCTTATCGTTCTGAATATGTACTAAAATTATATTTATTATTTTATTACTAAACAATAATAAAAACTTAAACATTAAGTTGCAAAATATTTTTAGTTCTAGTGAACGGCAAGGCATTCAAATGCATATAATATGTTCGTGATACCTTACATAAATATTTAAAATTTATAGATACGCAATACTTAACGCCATGTGACTGTGGGTGGCATCGTAAAAACAAAGAAATACGTTATATAATATAATTAGGGATTCTAACGTAGAAATACCGGATTTATTATTTATATTACACCTAGTGTTAAATTAAATTGAACATAATATTATTTATTACATTTCAGCTATAAGTAGCCTAATTATCCTAAGTACACCTACCTATACTATATTTATTTATTTTTTACTATTCCAAGCCAGCACTCAACTGCGATCCCAACCGATGGTATGTAGTGATGTAGCCTAAGATGGTCACTTGACCTTGACACCCACATTGCAATGGGATGGAAAGAAAGATGCTGGCAAATTATTCCACTCTTTTGCTGTACGTGACTGTACGTACTGACGAACGATGAAGCAAACTGTTTGGTTCAACCAAAGGGTGGAGACGGCCGCACGTTCGGTTGTCCGATGGCGAAAGGGAAAGGGAGGGATTAAGTTATTCCCGCGCACACTCTCAGAAATGCATCCTGTAGAAAACCGAAAAGTTGATTACTTTGCACCTGTGTTCGAGGCTGGTAAGATTGGTTTTAACTAGATTCGGGTCACCAATAAACTTCTTAGCATGCCTTTCCATTAAGTCCAAAGCTGCTAAGTGGCATTTTGCTGCACCACCAGCCCGTATATGGCAGCAATACTCATGCAAGACCGGATTTACGCTTTATATAGAGTAAGCAGCTCTCCCAACGTGAAGTACCGCTGCACTTTTGCAAGGACTTTTAGCTATCTTGCAACTGCTTTGGCCTTGAACTCAATTAACCGCCCGAAGTTCAGGTTTGTGGATATTTCAACGCCCAACAACTGAAGGCGATCGGTGTATTCCAGTGATACATTTCAGAAAGAAGGAGGCAAGGTGAGCTGGCTCCTTGTTGCAATAAAGTGACACTTTTTGTTGTTGTTTTGGAGGTGTAGAATTTCACAAGATTGGCATCGCCCTATTCGGAGACTGTCTGTAGTGCGAGATTCAAAGGCTCAACCATAGCCTATTTCGGACTGGATTTGATCCCGACTAGCCCGAGCACTTGTTAAAGTATCTCTCTACAACTGTTATTTGCATACCCATAGATACCGGACATAAGCCAGTGGCGAAGCTAGAGCTCCAAGCTAGGGCAAGCCCAAGATATAAATTGATAAAAATATAGATTGTTGTTTTTAGCAGTTTTATAAAAATACACCAATCTTGATCTGTCTCCACGCTTCAGTTTCATATTCAGTGCTGTCAAGGACGTGTTTAACAAAGCACACAGAAGGTATACCACTGCTAGATAGATTGTATTACATATTATCAGCAATTGCATAACTTCGGTGACTTTGAAGAAAGCCGTTTGGGTTTGTTTAAGCGAAAGAAAAAAATATTTACATCCAATACAATACATGAACAAAAGTAAAACACGAACAAAGTACAAACAAACTATGTACAAAATTAAAAAAAAAATTATTTACTTACATTCTAATGGATAAGAAGATAAGTGGAATCGTCTCGCTTTCTTACGGAAAGATTTAATTATGTCCACGTAAAATGTTGGTGAACGTTTTAATTGTACCAATAACTGTTTTTAATTGCGATAATTGATAAGTCTGAAATACACTCTTAACCTTATGTATTATCTCAACAAAGTTTAAAGATTTCACTTTAACACACTTCATTTCATCACAAGGAACACTATTATCCTCCATTTCATTAAAAATCTTTAAAAAAGCATAAATTTTGAACTCGTAATATTAAATCGCTTAAGATAAGCACACAGAGTAAATAAACATTGAAACGTGAAATGAACTTGCAAACGTATTGCCCGCGCGCCTCCGCTTTTAACAAATTTATTCCCAAAAGCCTGGCTTTAAATCTCTATACTAATTGCTATATATGCAATCGTAGTTATATTTCATTATAGAATATTTTGCCATAGGTTAGAAAGAGAGCGATCGTCTTCTCGAAAGCCCCGTAAAAAGCCCACGCGAGCGAGGGAGACAACTATTAGCTCTATTAAAACTCATTTTTTATGACAGCAGCAGTATCGCTAAGGCAATACGAGGTCATCGGTCGACATGTGTCGAACAGTGGAGTGCGCGGGAAATTTGAAATAGCTTGAAACATTTTACGAGTTATTTTATTAGTTGATATTATTGATTGATTCAGGTTTAATAAGGCAAGCCCGGCTTTTCGGCTTTAATGGAAGCTTCGTCACTGACATAAGCAGATCATTAATATACAGCAAGAAGAGAGTTCCGGAGAGAACGGATCCCTGAGGAACACCGGCAATACAATAAGCTACTTCTTCAATATTTAGAAAGAAAGAAAGAAAGAAAAATACTGATGTAATTTAACCATAAACATAAAAAATACATAGTAAAAAGAAAAAGAAAAAAAAAAATATTAAACACAACATCACACATTAAAGAAAATGCCGTAGATATGGTTTTCAGTGGGCCTAAAAATGTGTGAGTGGAAATTTAACAAATTTATTAAAATTGTGCACTTATTTTATATTGTTGAAGGCAGTTTGTTACACACTTTTATAGAAATTGAATAAGAAGTAAGAATTGGCGCTATTTATTACTAATTTAGATTCCGAATTGAGGAGGTTGTTTTATAGCGCGATTCGTAGCGACCAAAGATATGCCGATCTTCTAGCGTTGAAAACGATTTGGGTACTTTCTTACAAATTCACAAATTTGTAATATGTAACATGTATATTAATGTCAAATGTCTATCAATGGTGGTAATTATCATTACACCATTTTTTTTAAATAATAAGCGTGCGAATTTTTGTCCCCACAACTTAACGTCGTAGGTAGGCAATGCGTGAAAATAGGCGAAGCACGCCTATTATAAGTAGTATTTACAAGTTTTCATATAGAACCTACCTCAAACCGTAGTCTTGGTTGCTTGTCGTCCTGCAAGTCAGTTGTCCGTGAAGAAGGCGGTATTCTAGCATGTTCCTGTGCTCGAGCTGGTATTGGCGGTGGAGAGGCAGGTTGAAGCAGTGCCCGGGCTTCACTGGGAAGCAGGTCCGGAGGCGCTGAGCACTGCGACGCTGCTCGGCCCACCAGCTCTTCAGTGTCAGTACGCTCGCTCTCCGTACCGACTGTCGACAAATAAACTATTAACATTTAAATTTACTCTCCACGAGTAACACAGATCAAATAATTTATTACTACTTATTATGGTCATATTCATAATCATCAAAACGTAAATAATCAAAGGCTGAAGCTCTCTAAACAACTTTTCGCTAAACATATAAAATGATGTGTCTTACCTGGATTGAAGCGCACCTCCCGCCCTCCCTCAATTTCATACACTAACTCCGTCACCACTAGACCAAGCACCACTACTCTCAACACCACTATTCCAGGCAAGACACACCATCTACGATAATACGACACGTGTTTCGCCTCTACACGAGGCATCCTCAGGTAATATAGACTCTACGGTGGCTGACCGCTAAGTGAGCGGCGAGTCGAAACAGTTGCTATTTATACACGCTGACACAATCGCTCCCTTACCAAAGTAGCGAGTGACCGCGTCGTGCGATAACAAACCTGCCAACAGTTATTATTATTGTTATGATTATTTTTAAATACTATTATTATTATTGTTTTGAGTGACCGCGCCGTGCGATAACAAATCTGCTACTAATTATTATTATTGTTATGATTAATATTTTAAATACTATTATTATTATTGTTTTATTGATTTTATTATAATTATTTATTATTATTAATCTTAAAATTATTATTAAAGATTGGCCTTAAAGATGTTTAACAAAGGTGAATTAGAAACATTTGTTTGTTCATTCAGCAGTGTATAATTACCATTATTACTTTTTAAAAATCTCCAACTGCTCCAGCACACACAGTCGCAGCCCCTTATTACAGGTATGTAAGACTTCAAAGGAATGGTCGCTAGCTAGGTTGTGTCCAGTGTCCAAGAGATGTTTAGCAAAATGGGATTTATCAGGATTGCAATTTCTGTACGCGGCCATATGTTCTTTATAGCGCGTCCCGAAATTGCGACCAGTCTGACCCACGTAAACGGCGTGGCATTCGTCACAAACAAGTTTATAAACACCCGATTTTTGACTAATATTTAACTTATCTTTATTATTACAAATATTCCTAAGCGAATTGTTTGTTTTGAATGCCACGTTAACTCCGTTTTTCTTAAGACTATTAGCTATTTTTTCCGATATGGGGCCTAAATAGGTCAAACTACCCACATACCGCCGGACACTTTGAGATCGAACCGCGTACAAAGAATTGCGAACAACATGGATTCCTATTAGACCTCATTTTTTAAAATAGGATTACTTAAGGGGAATAAACGAACAGTCCACGTAACAGCCTGGCCACGGGACATTCGCCGTCTTCGATCAATTATATTTATATAACTAGATTAAGGATCAGGAACAAAAATAAGTCGCACAAGTGGCCACCTTTGCACACACATAAACATCTATTTATCTTAGAAAAAAGTTTAATAACATTAACAACTTCAGTTTATTATAAACCTTAATAACACTCTAACATAAAGTTTAATCACAATTGCAAAATATATTTATTTAAGTCCTTTCATCAGAGAAAGGTGTCGTCGCTTGAAAATAAAAAGACATAGGTTACAAAAATATTTATTCTAAAATGAAACTTAAACTCTTTAGTAATAAGGTTAAAACATTATGTTGACATTTTCGTGCTAATCTAATTTGGTAGTAGACGTAGTTCTTGGTATTATATTTCAATGCTCGGAACACAGTGAGTATTGAAAGACGTAGAATTGCAGAATATAAATATTTTAGGGCAAGGGTCGTTTTGTATGGTGGCAAATATTTTTGACCGATTTATAAAAATAGTAGGATTAAGTAGTAGGTATTCATTGAATGGTCGTCAACTTCTTTTTTAAATACCCTTTTCTAGGAGTGTCACATATCGATGTTAAATCTGATAATAATGTATCAGGAGACTTCAAGCAAACTGCATCAGCCCGAGGTACGTCACGTCTTTCTGTTATATCTTCAAAAGTTTAAGTTTATTGAAAACAATTTCAAAGTATTTCATGAAAATACCTACAGGTATAGTTTTTTCCGATAAAGATTTTTTTTAATAAGCTGATTTAACTCTTTTGTTATTCTGAACATAAAGCTGATTGCACTTTTATTGGTTCGTGAATCTGAAAAAGTCAAACAACTTACTTTTTACCAAAAGCACTACACTACCTTCACAATCTTACACTTTCAATTTTACTACTTTATGATAATTACCGGCAATTTGGGAACCGCTGTTTGTAGTAATCTACGCCTTTGCGTGTTTCCAGTTATGTCCAATCTATCAAAATGAATCGAACATATTCTCAAAATTTTGGATGGGTTGTATATATAGTTCTTCTCCTCTTTCTTTCGCGACAATAGATACTCATTCTGCATAGCGAAATGGGTCCCTAGGAAATTTACAAACAAAAAATATATATTATTAAATAATAATACTACTCCATGCATGTTTGTTCAAGAACAGTCAATGTTTGTATGGTTGTTGCGTTGTAGCAAACATTGGCCTAACAATCATAATATTAGCTAATTGAATAATTTTTGCTATTTAATTCCGTTTTTATTTTATGAGAAACACTTAATGATGAATGAACTTATTAAAAAAAAGATATCCCTACCAAATTCTTAGTGTTACGGTGGTTAATGGTACAGTTTTAGAACGCGCGCACTGCGGCATTTCGACGTTTTAACGTTGGCTATGATTGGACTATACTAATTTGAAATAAGACCACAGAAGTGTTTGTGGTCTTATTTTTCTGGCCGTTTTTGAAGCGCTCATCGGGAATCTAGTATATTATTGATCGAAGTTCGCCGTAGCGAAAATTCGCCGTAGCGAAAGCGCGCGGCGCGAACGGCGAGGCGTCTAGCGACTAAAACAAATTTATAGAAATGTATTGATCAAGTCACGCGTAGCGGCAAGTGGCGACGCGACCGGCGAAATTTACCGGGCGAATCGCGCGGGCGACTGGCGGCGCGGCGGGCGACTGAAACAAATGTATGAATCAGTACGGTGCAAGCCACGGAGTCGGGCGGCAATCGCGGCGGCAGACGAGGCGAATAGTATAGGGAACAAAAACAACTAATTCTATCCGCATTGACTTTTATCTCCAATTCTGGTTGAATATTAACAAGAATATAATCGCAGGTTTCAACACTCATATTGGTATTTACTCGAAATTTTTTCTAGATGCATTCTATTTGTTGTGGAATTCTCCATCTATAACCCGATTCCTATTCAAATCAAGTACTCCGCAATCTCATCCAAATTAGGGATGGGCCGAATATGGATTTCACCGAATACGAATATTCGGCCGAATGTTCGGTAAAACTTTTACCGAACCGAATATTCGGCCGAACATTATTCGGCAGGATAACCTTGGGATCCAACCAATTTATGTCGAAACTTGCTACCGTAAAGCGCGCGGGATTAGCGCCGGACCCTGCCCCTCGCTCCCCCGTCACACCTGACAGTTATTGCATCATCTAGTACTGAGCAAATTGCCGGCACATGCTATGTTTTGACTATTCTTGTGAAAAAAAATTATTTCGTTGTTTTATTCTTAGTGAAAACTGATAATTGTATGATAAAAATGAGCGGCAGGAGATCTATTTGGACTTATTTTAGAGAAACTGACGACCAATAGAAAGTGAAATGTACTAATGTAATGTAATGTTTCTTTGTTTGATTCCAAAAACATTTTATCAATTTTCTATTTGCTATAATCTGAAACAAATCTATAGTGCCTCAAAAACATAAATGTATATATTTATGCATTTGAGGCACTCTAGAGTAAGTAAATTTAACCCATAAATAAAATATACTTTCAACAGTAAAAGACATCGCATTACTCAATTCGTACATTTCAATACATTAGACACTATGAAAACGAATGTTCGGTGATTTAGCCGAATATTCGGCCGAATACGAATATTCGGTAAAGTTGCCGAATATGCTGAATACCGAATATAAAACGAATATTCGGCCCATCTCTAATCCAAATATTGCCTTGAATAAAAAAACAATTACTTTCTAAGCAATATCGAGATAACTTTGATAAAGACATTTCACTCTCGGCCTATCCGGTCGCGGCGGCAAACGCATCGAGCATTTAACCTGAATAGAGTAGTAATATGAGCCATCCAATTCCGAAACTGATCAGTGATTTGTCACTGATAAATGGCAATTCACGCTCGCCCTAAAACAGTACCTCACCAACATGTGATCTGTGTGTACGTCCCCCGATACTCCCGAAAATATTCTGTTTGGTATATTAAACCCCATAATGTCGTGTTGTTCTATTCGGTGGTTTGGAAAAAACAGCAAGACATCGAATTATAAAACATACGGAATCACGTTTCATCGGTAAGTATCAATAAACTTTGATTTTGTTTCAATTTACATCCATATAATACGGCTCAAGTTAAACTGGCCATTTAGTATGAATCACTTGGACGCTTGTCTATGCGTCTTGCTCTTACCTAGGTGTAACCAATATAAGCCATCTCATTTTATTTATTACGTGTTTACTAGTGCTTGAATCGGCCAATCAGAGCGCAGCGACCGGCGCAGCGTTTTGGCGGAATTTGTTTTCTTACAAAACAAATAACAATACCGCTCTATTTCAGGTTAAATGCTCGATGGGCAAACGTGACTTCCCGTGGCCCTCAAATCGCGCCGCGCGAATTTTCGCCCCGCCTGTCGCTTCGCCGTTCGCGCCGCCGATCCCCGTGGCCAGGCCGTAATGTGGACGCTGTGGCCTATAGACACTAACACCTATGCTCTATTAAATATAAAATTTTTTTGTCATTCTTTCGTATAAAACTATTTTGTTATTATTTTTTATTATATAAAGTGTCTATGTACACTATACCTTAAAAATGCGAAAAATTCAGGAATTTTACTAAAAATAAGAGAATAACTCAAACTAAATACCTGGCTAAAAATAAAAATGCAATCCCAATTTTTTTTTACAAGATGACACCCTTCATAAAGTCATAAAATTAATGTTGTCATGTTACTAAGTCATGAAATAATGTAAGTAGTGTGA